ACCCAAAATTAGAAAAAAAAAAAGAAATAATAAATATCAGAGCAGAAATAAAGACTTAAAAAATATAAAACATCAATAAAATGAAGTTATATTTTTGTAAAAATAAACAAAACTGATTGACTAACTAAAAAGAGAGAAAAGACCCAAATAAATAAAACTGAGAAAACTGGGTATCCATATGCAGAAGAAAGAAACTAGACCCCTGTCTCTCCCTATGTACAAAAATCAAATCAAAATGGATTAGACTTAACTGTAAAACCTGAAAATATAAATCTACTAGAATAAAACATTGTGGAGATGTTTCAGGACACTGATTAATATGGCACAGATTTTTCAAGAGTTAAGACCACAAAAGCACAGGCAACAAAAGCAAAAACAGACAAGTGGTTTTATATCAAGTTTAAAAAGCTTCTGCATAGGAATGGCAATAATCAATAGAGTGTAGAGAAAACCTACAGAATAGGAGAAAGTATTTACAAATTATTCATCCAATGAGGAACTAATAACCAGAATATATAAAGAACTCAAACAACTCAACAGCAAAAAAAAAAAAAAAAAAAAACCATTCCTATTAAAAAGGCAAATGATCTGAAAAAAAAGACATACTTTTTTTTTATAGATAGATCTATAAAAAAAAAGTTGAACATCACTAATTGTCAGATAAGTGCAAATCAAAACCACAGTAAGATATTATCTCACCTCAGTTAAAATGGCTATTGTCAAAAAAAAAAAAAAAAAGCAAACAAAGAAAAAGAGAAAAAAAAAACACATCTAGCAAGAATGCAAAGAATGGGAGCTCTAGTACACTGACAGTGAGAATCTAAATTAGTACAGCTATTATGGAAAACTGTACAAAGGTTCCTCAAAACAAAAGAACTAGCATATGATCCAGCAAGTCCACTGCTGAGTATATATCCAAAAGAAAGAAAATCAGTATATTGAAGAAATATTTGCACTCCCAGGTTTGTCCCAGAACTTTTCACAATAGCCATGATATGGAATCACCCTAAGTGTCCATCAACAGATGAATAGATCAAGAAAATGTGTTACATATATACAATGGAATACTATTGTATCATTAAAAAGAACAAAATCCTACTATTTGCAGCAACATGGGTGAGCATAGAAGACATTGTGTTAAGCGAAATAAGCCAGGTACAGAAAGACAACACGTATTCTCACTCATATTTGGAGGCTTAAAAAAAAAACTTTGCATCATAAACATAGAGAGACATAGAGAGTAGAAAGGTGGTTACAACTGGCTGGGAGGGGTGGGTGGGGGGATGAAAACAGGTTGGTTAATGGGAACAAAAATACAGTTACATGGAAGGAACAAGTTCTAGTATTTGATAGCACAGCAGGGTGACTATATTTATGATTTATTGTATATTTCAAAATGGCTAGAAGATTTGAAATGTTCTCACCACAAAGAAAAGATAAATGTTTGAGGCGATGCATATTCCAATTACTTTGATTTCATCATTACACATTGTATGCATGTATCAAAATATCACATGTGCCCCATAAATATGTACAATTAGTATGTATCAATAAAAATATAACATTCTGAAATAAAATGATTCTGAAAAAAATTCATTTAAAAAATTTATTTTAGAAAAAAGTTTTTAAGGAAGCAATTGCTATCAAGAAAAAAAATGAATCAGAAATATAGGAACCCAGAAAAGAGGTGATCAGGAAAAAATGGCATGGAAATAGGATAGAACTAGAAAAATAAAATAAAAAGGAAACCTGACTTATGAGGTCCACACGGATAACAGGTATCTCAGGAAACAGTATAAAGATTTAGAAAAAAATACAAAAGAAAGACAAAGAAAATTAAACAGACATTAAGAAAAAAAAATGAGAATAACTCAAAGTTAAAGAATATATGACATCTATATAATTGGTATCCCCAGTGAACAAACTCAGAACAATGAAACAGAAAAAAAAAAATGTTAACTGAATTCAACAACACTTATCTGAAATCTACATACTGAAAACATATACTGTATACTTGATAAATTTAACCTGCAGTGGTCAACCCTAAGGCATACCTTGTTAAAACTTTTTCCTTAAAAAACAAATGTGGTTATTTTGACAGAGCAAGTTGCTTTTAAGAAAAAGAAAATCCGGTTTGCATCATGCTTCTTGACACCAACATACACCACCAGAAAAGAAAGCAGCGCTTACAAGACACTCGAGGAAAGAAACATGAGTCAAGGAGCCATGATGTCTTAAGGTATAAAATAGGCTACAGGCAAACAGCTATCAACATGCAAAAATCCAAGGAATATTGTTCTCAGGAGCCCCTCCTTAGAACTCTACCAGAGGATTAATTTCAGATAACCAAGAAATTATTGCGGGGAAGGGGAGTTTGGCAAATAATCTGGTGATGAGAACTGAATATACTTAACTGAAGAACTAAGACTAAAATGTGCAATAAGGGTAACAAAATAATACATAAATATTAAATCTTCAGGCAGTGTAGAAATAATAAAACTTACAACAAAATGAGAGAATTAGATTATGTACTGCCCAAGTGAACATGCAGCAACTATTCTTTTGGATTTCCCCAAGCGTCAGCAGTTGCCCTGCAATATCTATTGTCAACTGCTTCCAGCCTGGAATCCTCTGCTCTTTCCCCTACTTAGCCTTCCTTCAAGACCCTCCCTATGATGTGATTATCCAACTCACCTTAATTTGGACTAATTTTTATACCCAAGAGACTGTGGAAACTAAGTTTATATGACAAGCTGACATAATAAGCTGAAGCATATTTAAGAATATGAGGATAAACTATTTTTTTAAAAAAAAAGAATATTACTAACTAAAATTGAATAATGGATGAGAGGGAGGAGGAGTTTAGGGGTAATTTCACTGTTGTTCATAGTAGAGAAACTAAATTAAGAGTATTAAAGTTATTTTTATAAAGGTAATCACTACAGCAAAACTATAAACCCTCCTAAATATCACAAAAACTGAAAAAAAGTCAAGAAATAAAAAACAGAGAGTTAAATACTTTCAAAATACTTTTAACATTAACATACTTGTATTACATAAAATGACAGAACTAAGATCAAATGTATTTCTTACATCAAAATTAAATGGGCTTAACTTGCCTATTAAAAGAAAAATATTTTCAAATTAGCTCTCAAAGTAAAATCCAATTCTATGCAGTATAAAAGAGACATACCAAAAACAAAGGATTTTAAAAGTTGAAAGGAAAAGGGAAAGCAAAGGAATATCAGGCAAAGCAAATCAGAAGGTCTCAGAGGTCATGATCCTCATATTACACAAAAGATAATTTGTTCCACAGAGCATTAAAAGAAACAAAGAAGGAAATTTGTAATGCTGAAGGCTATAATTCATAATGCATATATAATAGGTATAAATATCTATACATGAAATAATGTAGCATGGATTTTCACAAAGCAGACATTATAAGAGATGTAAAGAGAAACATATAGGAACCCCCTAATAACAGGATACTTGAATAAATCTCTCAGTCCAAGATAGACCAAGTGAAAAAAAAAGTATGAATGTAAACTAATTAATAATGTAGACTTCATAAATGTAGACTTAAATCCACATCCTAATAGTAGCTACCCTTTCTTTGGAATGACCCTGACATATTCAAAAAAGCTTTTTACATTAGACTACATTAAAACTCAATAAATTCCAGAATGTAGAAAATATAAATGTCCTTCCATCTGGTTAAATGCCCTATTAATTTATTCTTTAGTCAAATGGGAAATAGAAATTACAGGTGCAAAATCTGGGAAAAACATTAATAAAAACATTTCAGTATATACTCAACACTACTGAAATATACACTTAAAAATGGTTGAGATGATAAAGTTTTTGTTAGGTGTATTTTACCAGAGCTAAACAAGCAAACATTACAGGGCCAAATGTGCGGAATGCTGCCAAAACAGTACTTGGGTAAAAGTCATACTTTTAATAACTTATTACAATACAAATGAAAGGGTGAAAATAAATTAAGCTTCCAACTCAAAAAGATAAAGAATAACAAGACAAATTCAAGGAAAGCAGAAAAAAGAGTGACTATAAATAAAAAGCAAAAACTTAAAAATTAAGAGTTTGAATCATGTAAATGCCTTATGATTCAAATGAAATAAATCCAAAAAATAGAAAATACCATCATCTAATGACCCAACATTTTTGTTTCAGATACTATGAATTGAAATCCAAAGAGATTAAGGCATCACACAAAACCAGAACTAAAATCCAAGTCTTCTTACTCCCAGTCAAGTGCTCCCATGGCAGAAATTTGGAAAAAGCATAAATTAAGGTGAGTTAGATAATCATAAGGACGGTCTTGAAGGAAGTCTAAGTGGGGGAAAGAACAGAGGATTCCAGGCGGGAGCTGGTGACAATACGTATCGCAAAGCAAGTCCTCACACTTGGGGAAGTCCAAAAAAATGTTTACTGGATGCTCACTTCGGCAACATATACATTAAAATTGGAACAATACAGAGAGGATGAGCATGCCCCCTGTGCAAGGATGACATGAAAATTCATGAAGCATTTCATATTTTTCAGGGAAGGAAGGATAAAATATCAAGGAGCATGAGAAAACTTTTGGTGCTGATAGATATTTATTATCTTTATTGTAGTGATGATTTTGCAGGTGTACACATATGTCAAGACATCAAATCATACATTTCAAATATGTGTGATTTGTTCTATGTCAATTATGTCTTAATAAGATTCTAGCAAGACATTTATTATGATAAAATATAAAAGAAGAAAAAACTTTTACAAGTGTTGTTGATGATAATGAGGAGAATAAATCCATAGAGGCATAAATATTTAATGGATAAATTATAAGCATTCTTATGTAAGACAACATTTTAAATAAAAGAGCTAATATCCAATGCATTATTAGCCTGAGACTGTATGAACTACATTTTGAAGCTATATATAATAAAGATAGCATTTCATGTCAAAAAGAAAGTGTTAAGTAAAACTCACATTACCTGGGAAAACTGCCTGTGGTGAAAGTAGATATTTCCCGCATTAAAGTAAGCCAGCGAGTACTCGGGGTTTAGAGAAATTGCATCTTGATAGTCTTTCATTGCATTCTGTTTATGGCCCATAAACTCATGAATCACCCCACGATTTGTTAAGAATTCTGCTGTAGTATTGATCTGCAGTATAATATTATGATTATTTAACATCTGGGAATATTATGTATCTCTGATTTCACGTCTGCCAAAATGAACATTAGAGAATCTACTTGTGGGAAATGAGTAGTTTTATAGTGCATGTAAAACCCCAGTAGAACAAATATTTTGAGAAAGGAGTTGGTATGAAGTTGGTTCAGTGTCAACATTTTGTTGATTTGGTTGCTATAAAACAAATAATCTTAGTGTTTTTTCACTCAGTTCCTTTCCAAGGAATAGACAAAGTGGAAAAGCTTATCTGTTTAGCTGTTAAGCTAGAGAAGAAATTAAATTGAATAGTTAACAGGTGTATTTTTATGTAGTAGCAATTATCTTTCAGTTCTTTCCTTTTCCTCATCTCAAACACTACAATATCTGCCCAAATCTATAGAATCAAAACCCAAAATCTAGAAGTAAAGAAGAGTTTCTGTCCATGCATTCAACATGAGATTTTTACTTGTCATTTCATTATGGGAAGATTCTGGGGATTTACACTGTTCTCTCTTTAGTTCCTTCAAACCTAGAACATTATTTTATGTTACGCATTCACTTTGTATGACAAAATAATATTGATGTCCCATGAAAGTATAAAGCGTGTTTACTGAAAGCGATCAACATTTATCAGGACTTTGGGGTTTTAGTGCATTTAGGTTATAAAATTGGCAAGCCATAACTCTTTACCCTAGGGATCACTTCGGTTAAAAAAATACAAAACATTATTTTCTGCATAAGTACTTTAAAAAGCTAACAGAGAACTTCTTACTTGAACCTATTCATTGACAGTGTTAATTTATGCTAATAATAATATAACCTAAGATGGTTTTTACCTTCACGGCAGCATTAATATCCTGCATTGCAGCAAAATTATTACCCATCTGAAGACAGACCACAGCTCTTCCTTCATAGGCTAAGTAGTTCTTTGGATCAATATCTATGGCAATGGTAAAGTGGTTCCAAGCTTTCTGGAATTTTCCTTGGGCCTAAAATAATTTTCCAATTACACAAAGTAGGAAATAGTCCATAACATAACAAATGTTTATGATTCTGACTCAATCAAATAAAACTTTAGTAAGAGTATTTAGTAAGGGTATTTAGCCATGCTAAATCTAAGTTCTTTTAAACCAGAAAGTAGGCATACTGAAAGCATACTGTGGCTGTATTCAGTTGACTAATTACCTCTGAGTATTTATGATGAAATTTTAATTAATTAAAATATATTTAACTTCAGAGTCATCTCCTGTACCAATCCTGGACAACATAAAATCATAGCCACCATGTGAAATGCCAACGGTTTTTACCAACACAAAAAGATTCACATTGAGCTGCACACACATAGGGAGGGATTGCATTTATTTGGTTGGCACTGAATCTCCAGTTATAGATAATATATACATAATATACATAATAAAATAAACATGTATTGAATAATAAATGAATAATGGTGTAAAACATATTCTGATAAATCATGCCAGCATCTGGCGTTTTAGGATCACTATACGTATTCCATAGAAAATACATGTAAATCTACCAAGCTTCTGTTTATACCAACTGGAAAAGAAAGAGGTCAGGAGAGGGGCATTGTTAATAGAACGATGTCAGAGTGCTTCCTAGAGAAGACCAGCTGGCAACTAAATGCCTCCACAGGAAGGCAGTGAGTTAATAAATTCAGTACAGTCTGGAGTCTGTCTTTTTTTCTAATGGGCTAAAAAAACCCATCTTGCCAGAATCTCGGAAGCTGACTCACTTTAACCAAGCTGAGCCTAGGGACTCTCATATGAAAGTAAAAAGAAATACAACCATTAAGGGAACAAGACCCTGTTTCCTGACCATCAAATCTTCTCTCTCTGGGTAAACCATTTGTAAATCCACACTGTCAACACAAGCTCATTTAATAAACAAGGAATCAGGCAAATTGAGATTAGATTATTAGAATATTAAATAGCAAACTGCCTCACAGTAAGATCTCTGTCATCTGCTCCAGACCACATCTGTTGTGCTCATTTCTATATTTCTAGTGCTAGGCAAATAATAAGGGAATCTGTAAGTATTTGTTGAACAAACTGTTGCTCTTTCCCTGGACAGAACTCAGATGAGCCTAACTCTCCTTTTGCAGTCCTCCTTCCTCACTCAATTCTTTACACTGCTGGGCTTTTCAATTCTCTTTTAGGTTGCTATACACCCAGTGAGATCTTCATAAAATGCAAATTTGATGTCACTTCTCCTATTACTGTTATTCATATTTTTAACTGGACCATAAGGCCTTTACTCCAGCCTCAACTCATGCCCTGCTCCCTTTGCCCATAACATTCCATCCACTTGGGCCCTCTTGTCTCTTTCTTAGGAGACTTTCTGATGGGCCGGTTCTGCTCTACGGAACACTGTATCCTAGCCATGGCCCCTATTTTCACACCTCAACATTATTAATTTCTCAAAAAGCTTTCTCTCACCTCCCAAACAAAGCTAGGTTATTTTGTTATAAGTTATACTAAAACTCATCCTTTTCCTTTGTTGCACTTATCATGATTATGATCAATTATTCATATGATTAATTGTTTGATGCCTATCTCTCCACTGAGTAGTAAACTCTGCAAGAAGAAGGAAGTATATCTTGTTCATTGCTATATCCCTAGGCCTAGAGCAGTTTCCGTTCTATATTTAGTGCTCAGTTAATGTCTGTTGAATGCAATGAATGATGATGATCTTAACACACTTCACTGGATTGCAGTCAGCTCTAGCTGCCTTGGAAATCCCTCTCTTTAAATGGACTTTGAAAATTTCTCTGTGATCCAATAATGGCTAATTTTCTTCTCTTTAGCTTTCCACTAATGCAATAGGACAAAACCTGTGGGGCCTAGGTATACAAGCTAGTAAAATAAATGTTACCCAGGTTCTTATAGATGAACTTCATCAGGCAAATTTTAAAAGTTGTTTGTAAATGAGGAGGAAGGTAGGGAGGGGTGCAGACATAAAAGGAAGCTCAGGTTCAAAAGATTTTCATTTAACCAGCCTACCAGTTCCCCAGGCTGATCCAGATCCAGACAGTCTCTCTATAACTAACTAAACCCCCTGCTCCCACTGCTACTCTGGAACCTAAAAGCAAGGAAAAGACAAATGTTCATAACCAAAGAAATAACATATACTCCCATTGCCAGGAAAGAGCCAAATAAATTCTTTCTCCCCAAAAGATGCTTTTAATGCTCAAAATGTTGCTATATTACCTGCAAATTATAGCCAAAACTAATTCTGGCTTTTATGTATGCTGGATTAATATGCAGCGCTTTCAGAAAGTCTTTCTGTGCTTGCTTGGTGGCTTCAGCATGACCACATTCCATGTAAGAATTTCCCCGTCCAACATAAGCATCCAGAAAACATGGGTTAATTTTAAGAGCCCAGGTAAAGAAATTGACAGCTTCTTCAAACTCATTAATTCTGCAAATAAATAAAAATATTGATGCCTTCTGGTGAACTGATGCATTCTGGTGGCATATGCAATGTTTTCTGTAACTGACTTGTCCATAAAGATTTGAATTGACTCACAAAAAAAAATCTCCATTTCTATTATCCATTGTAGGAGGTAGGCACATAAGTCCATAAGACCTAAGGAAGTGTGACAGGTCCTTTGAAGATTTTGGTAAAAGGAAAGATGGCAAGAAAGGGTCATTTTCATAGCAGAATGTGATGGGATGATATTCTGGATTTTTTTTTTCAAGTTACTAAAGTCCACATGGCATTCTTAAATCTGTTTTTAACAGGCATTAATTACCAGTATAGAAAAACATATGCTACGATTGATGAAATCTACTTTTTAAAAATAGATTAAAATAAACTTATTTGTATGTATTTAATATTTCCTTATACAATGAAAAAAGCCAGATTTTCATCACATGGGCGTCCTTACGTCAGATCTCCTATAAAGGCAGGCCATTTCAATGTGGACACCAGGAGAGAAGGGGAGAGAAGAAAGTAAAATGCATTTTATTTATCAAATTGTGAATGTATTTGGCTAAATGATAACTCTCTCTATCCTCCCTAATTACTCTCTTGTAAAGGCATCAAATTTTTGTTCATGGGCATATAAAGTCGCTTCTCCATTTCATATGCATATCTAATAATAATAATTAGTTTCAATTAACATGGAGAGAGTCTAGGATTTTTAAAAATAGAATGGAATGAGGAAACTAGCATTGTTTACTTACCAGGTACTGTGCTAAATACTTAACATGTGCTATTTCCTTTAATACTTCCAACAACTGTGTAAGCTAGTTATAATTATCTACATTTTACAGATGAAAGGAAAATTATGGCACAGAAAAGTTTGCACACAGGTAATGGCAGAGTAACTAACATACTATGTTTGCACAGAGAAAATATCTGAGATTCAGATAAGCCTTACTCCAAAATCCGTGCTTTTCCACACAGCCATCTCTACCACACAATCTGCACCTATAATACACCTGTGGTTGGTGTACAAGAGCCAGCTGATATCTCAACAAGGTAGCCAGAAGAAAGGCTTGGAGTTCAGATTTGAGCCTGAACATGAAAATTAATATTAATTTTTTAAGGTTGTTATGAGGATCAAATAAGAACATGTGAAGAACACCTAGCACAGAAACCCTCACCCATTGAAGATTATATCTTCCTTCCATTCTCTTCATTACTTCTCAAACAGGTTTCAAATTTTAATAAGATGGATCACTACTTTGCCCATTTTTCCTTTATAAAATACATGGAACCCAGGATAGACTGTTCCAGGAATTATCATCTTCTAGAGGTTACTCAAGAGTATCTCTTAAACCAGTGATTTCCAAACTACCCCTTCCTTCATGAAAGTTGCCCCAGGTTCCACCTATACTATCATTTACTAAATATTTTCTTTTAAATCAACTCACTTTTTTTACTTAACTAAATTTATTTTTGAAAGCAAATTAATTTAAATACCACAAGTTGAAAAATTATCTCATGTCATAAATAAAATAATAAGCTAAAATGATAAGCTTGGAGCTGGATACTTTATTCTGCAGAAAACAGCCTGAGTGCTACACCATCGATTACAAACAGAAAGTTTTTCAAGACTAGCTCTGGCCAGGCGCAGCGGCTCACGCATGTAATCCCAGCACCTTGGGAGGTCAGGAGTTCAAGACCAGCCTGGCCAACATGATGACACCCTGTCTCTAATAAAAACACAAAAATTAGCCAAGCGTGGTGGCAGTCCCCTGAAGTCCCAGCTACTCGGGAGGCTGAGACAGGAGAATAGCTTGAAACTGGAAGGCAGACATTGCAGTGAGCCAAGATTGTGCCACTTCACTCCAGCCTGGGCAACAAAAGCAAAACTTCATCTCAAAAAAAAAAAAAAAGACCAGCTCTTAGCTAAGACATTCTCCTTGATGTGTTCAGAAGGTTTGGGAAAGAATTCATTTTGAAACTGAAAGGCAATTCAGTTTCTCACAATGTGATACAGTATTTTTTTAATGCTTGTCCAGGCCATGAAAAGTAAAAGGTACTTGCAATACTTGCTCCATGTTTTCCCAAATGTGGTGCAACAGGTGTTCTTCTAGAAGCTCACACAACAATCCACAGTGAAGCATTAAGAAAGCTTGCTTCTGATGTTACAAGCAGGCAAAGGTTAACATCCACATATGGGAATCAGACGCCGCCTTTTGAGTTACTCAGGAAAACACAAGGTCACTTTCCTTAAGTAGTATACAATAAAATTGTGCTCTCTTTCCTGATAATTGGCACTATTTAAGAAGTAAAAGTCGGGCTAGGCATGGTGGCTCATGCTTGTCATCCCAGCACTTTGGGACGCCGGGATAGGTGGATCACCTGAGGTCAGGAGTTCAAGACCAGCTTTGCCAACATGGTGAAACCCCATCTCTACTAAAAATACAAAAAAACTAGCCAGGCATGGTGGCATGCACCTGTAGTCCCAGCTACTTAGGAGGCTGAGGCATGAGAATTGCTTGAACCCGGGAGACAGAGGTTGCAGTGAGCCGAGATCACGCCACTGCACTCCAGCCTGGGCAACAGAGTGAGACTCAAGAAAGAAAAGAAAGAAAAAAGAAAAGAAAAGAGAAAAGAAAGGAGGGAGGGAGGGAGGGAGGGAGGAGGGAAGGAAGGAAGGAAGGAAGGAAGGAAGGAAGGAAGGAAGGAAGGAAGGAAGGAAGGAAGGAAGGAAGGAAGGAAGGAAGGAAGGAAGGAAAGAGACAAAGAAGTAAAAGTCCACTTTGCCTTTCCAAGTGCCTTCTCACTGTAGTATAGCAATAATTCTAAACATAGCATAACAAATTCCTTATCAGGAATAATAGTCATTCCGTGTAAAATGCATTTAGTTTTGATAGGTTCAGAGAGGTTTTGTTGTGTTTAGTATTTCTATCTGTGGGTAGTGAAGCATTTACTTATGATGCATACTTATAGTGAGCATTTCAATGGACATTTCCAGGGAAATCCCTTTCTCTCATATTCTCCCCAAATTCATTGAAATGCCCGTAGTAATATTGACATCCAAATTGCATCATACACCCTGGCCCCTCTTACCCAGTGAAATTAAAAATCCTTTGTGAGTACATATTCTAATATATGGTTTATGAAATACAATCTTCCCTTCTGTATAGCTTAACCAATTAGAAAAATAAGGCAGTGAACTGAAGCTCACCACAATGTCATACAAGTTGTGAATTACCAAATGGCAGTGATTGAAGCTATTTTTCTGTACCCATCAAGTTATCAGCACTAATCTTTAATGAACAACTAGTCTGTTCAGACAAAGTAAATAATCATTAAATCTTAAAACTGAAAAGAGATCTTGAAAGACAGCTAGCAAGCTCCTCAAAGCCGATAGTGACTAAAATCAAGTCCAGGGAGGTAAAAGTGCTGAAAATCAGAGGCTCCCCAGCCTCCTGCACCAATAGACCAGGAAAAAAACAAAATGAGCAGATGCCACTGTGGAAACAGTAATTTCATTTCTCTGAATATGTGTCTGTCACAGTGTCCTACAGGTTGAAGCCCTTGTTAAGTAACTGCATGGCATTTAGCCAATGGGAGAATGTGGCAGAATATCTATGATCTTGTCAGGATACACGTTCAATGAGATATACATTGTTAAGCACCAGTTACCACAAGTGTAAAAGTATGTTAAATGAGGTTTTCTAAAATAAAATGTGTTCACATAAATCTAGAGCCATGTGATCACTTCCTGGAGATGCATGATTCTATTTACTGTGTTCTGTGAACAAGGGATTGTGTGCTGAGCTTGTCCACTAGGCCACAGACACAAAGGTCCACTGCATTTTACAAATTAATCACATACGTGACCAGATGTGCCCTACTGAGTTGTACAAATAAATCACAAATCCTTGCCCAAACTAAAGAATCTGGCTTGAAGAGTTAAAGACTCAAAAATATTTTATGCCCCAATATGTAAGAATAGTAAAATAAATGTGCTGAAGTAAAAAGTAGATAGGATATATAACTTTGAGTAATCTCCCTCTATGATATTTTTTGAAATATGAAAGCGGCGTTCTCAGTTCTAAAAATTAATTCTACCATAACACTAGTGGTGACTAAATTGGGCAACAAGTAGGATATTCAAGCCTAAGGAATGTTGTCTCCTAGCAACCACAAGAGTGAGAACCAGAGATATACAAAGGATACTTCAAAAGTCTGCAACCCCACGAGATCAAAGATCAAAGTCTTAAAATTTAAAAATTTATTTCTTTAAAGAATTTTTCCAAATGAGAAAATGTTTACTTTCCCTACTGTAAGACACACCAGGAATAAATCCCCATAGTTACAGTCCATGCATCTGTGGCTTAAGGATGTTATAGCTCACCTTGAAAAGCAAAAAATATATATATACGACCAATCACTAAACACTCCTTATTGTTAAATTCAGCACAACTCACGTGGAACATGTGGAACTGGGACTCTGAGTTTTCACAGGTGTACAGTTGATTTAAATTCTACTTTTATTAAAGAACAATAGAGATTCTAGTTGGGTGATGAAAGTTGGTTATTTGGAATTGCAAAGCAGTATCAGCTCAAGGAGGCTCTCCAGTATATACCCAGTGATTACATTTCATAAAAGAGATTGTGAACCGACATATAGAGAAATTTACTGGTTCTAATGGTTCCTAAACCTAGGAGTGAGGTAGAGAGTAGTTTTGGAGTCTGTTTTTAATTTTAACAGAATGCAATGAGCTCGGACATTTTTGGTCTTCACCCGCCCACCAAAACAAACACATCAATCATCGTTATTCCATCCCTTCTTAAGAATGACAATTACTTAAAGAGATAGATTGCACAAAGGTTGCTGGATTAAAATAGACAATAGTATGACCGGGTTTCGCTATCTGTACAAAATGAAAGGTCTGAGACCAGGTTAGGCCTTTTAACACAAAGACACCTTCAGAAGTTCCAGTTATGGTATTACTCTGCCCATAAAATTTAAAAAAAATAAACTTTCATAGGAAAATGTAGCATACTATATATGTCCTCAAAGAAAAAAGGATGTCAATTTCCTAAATAATTCAAACTATGTTTTACTCTTTAAACTGGGTATTTATACAGCCTAGTCTACATAATTTGGAACTATTCTAATTTAATCCTCCAAATTAACTGGTATTATTTGTTTCTTAGGGGGAAAAAAGTGATAAACTATTATTTGATCAAATACATTTTATCACATATTAAAATCCTCACAGGCTGAATCTCTATAATTTTAAAAGCAAAATTACTAAAAGTTAATTTTATGATGTCAAATATATATGTAGAAACATAAGCATTATGGCTAGCAAAGTCTATACACTATATTATTATTTCAGAGTATATTTTAAGCTGATTATCTTCTATATTTTAACCTTATTTAAGTGTTTTCATCTCTTCTTCTATAACTTATTTTTATAATAAACCCAGGAAGAAGTAACTTTGCTTTAAGTATTGTGTTTTTTGTAGATATTTGCTGGTGTTTTTTATTTAGATTTAGTCATGTTTTTAAACGCAAACTTTTCTTAAAAATGCATAAGTTTTTAAAATCACCCTTTCTTCCAGGAAAGAGACTTTATAATAGTCCCACTTTATGAACAAAATAAATTATTTTATGCTTAGCTATTTTGAGTTACACATAATTTTATTCTATATATTGCCATGATCCTTTCCCAGCATCTATGCTTGGATTAGATGAACTCTACCCAATGCCATGATGGAAGCATTTGCCTGCTAATTTGTGTAGAACAGTCTATTAGAAGGCAGAAGGGTGCTGAGGAACACTAAATGTGGTCCCCGTGTCTACACAGGGAACTCTTTGTGTCCCTCCCCGTTTTTGTACTCTGTCACATTCACAATTTCTCCCAGTTTCTTCCATTCTCTCCTGGCTTGTTTACGGGGTGATAATTAGATAAGTCTGATGGTCCCGCTTGCTTCCACTTGGACATCAATTGCACTCCATACCTGTGATGGCACATGGCAGTGGCGTGACAAAGGCTCTCGTTAGTCTGGCTTATCAGAGCAGCTTGTTTAAAATCCTGAAATAATGTTATAAGCTTTTGTTAATTTTGCAACATTATTTTATGTGCTATCTTAAACTTCCTTCTAACTGTGATTCCACAATGAAACAAGTATTAAGATACACATCTTCCTAAATACATGTGACACAAGCATTAAAATACACATCTTTCTAAAACTTTATATTTTCCTTGTAGCATCACATCAAATAAGAACAGATGAAACAAAGGAAACCTATTATTGTAGACTCACTCAGAATCTTGTACTACTGGTCTCTACTCAAGAATGGAGATTATTTTCCTATGGTTTTGCCCTGCAATGGGTAATGAGGTATCTATCTCATTTACTTTCTTTCTATTGTTTATTCCCAGTGAACTCCTCTGGAGACTTCTCTATCTAGACAGAAAAGGAAATGCACCTGGAGAGAACCTTTGATGTTACATGACTATAGGACAAACAGGCATCCAGGTTGGGGAAAGGGCATAACCAGGCCTTCTGTATGGATGAGCTGGGGCTGCTGCTGCCTTTGGAATCCACACTTCCGGCGAGAAATCATCTCTTGTCAAGGATCCATAAGCCCTCCTGTGAGGGAGAAATGGAAACTCTAATCGCCAGATCTGAAGTTAGGGAGGTCAGCTGGGAAGGATCCCAGTGGCCACTAGAAAGAGGCTGTTTAAAAGCATTCAAAGGGCTAAGTCCACAAAAGATCATGCCATGGTAGCCCAGAGCTCTTTTCTCTATCAGGCCCCAGGGACAGTGTCTGAAGCTTATGGCTCTTCAAAGTCCTACAGAAATATTTGAGGCCTGAAGTAAAATAAGAAAATTTAAATTTTCTTATTTTTATTACTGAATTATACTGAATTAATATTTTATTACTGAATTAATACTGAATATTAATTCAGTATTAATTATTAAAATTATTATTAAAAATAAATCTTATTTTTAATAAGAAATTTAAATTAAGAAAATATTCAAATATATAACTGCAAAACAAAATATTATATCACGTCAACTGCATGATATTTACATATGTATTAATATATGAGATGTAGATTTATTTTAGTGATTGCTATACTATAGGAAGGGCTTCTGAAAGAGTACTGAATCTGTGAAGGAATGAAAATAGCACTGCTTTTTCCCCCAGAAGACTGCTTCAGTAGGAATCTTCCTGGACAGTGTTTGTGATCTCACTTGATCAAGCAGAGCAGTAGGGAATATTACACTCTTCTCTGGAGTGGCAAAAGGAAACCCCTCCAGGCTTCCTTCCTGGAAGCCAGACATTGGAACTCTACAGCCCCAAAGGACACTACCCAGCCAGAAAGGAGCTAATCAAAGCCCACACTCTCCCTCTCCCTCCCCGCCCCCTCCCTTCCACAAACCCTCCCTGGCTATGTCAGAGGGAAGAGGCTGACTGTCTTTGAAGGGTAGGATAAATTTTCTGCTGTTATTGGAGGTGGAAGAGGGAGTAGTAAGGTTAATCTGAGCACTCAGAGATCATGCTGGAGGAGGCAGTATTAGTCACAGACCAACCTGTAGATGTGGACACCCCACATTGATTCAAGAAGCATATTTGATACCAAATGGAACTATTTGGAAGAAAATTTTTTAAATTATTGTCTAATCAAATATAATATAATAAAAATGCTTCCAGACATCTCTCTAGGAGGATTTTTTTTTTTTTTTTTTGCTAAAAATAAGGCAAACTTCCAAGTGTAAGTGAGCTTTAATACAAACATTCCCATGAATTTTGGAAGTTTCAAGGATGACCATGTAACTTAAAAGGCTAAAACAAATTCAGTTTTGTAATCAGATGAAACTTACAAAAGTGAACTTGACTCTACATAATCATTATTATACTACATGGTAATTAGGCAGTAATTATCAACAATAGACATAAAAGATGACTATTAGCATTACTTAGAATAAAGTTAGCCACTGTTATTTAATATTATAATTTTTCTCTTCTGCATTAATTATCTCTGTAATATAAGGATGATAAATAACAAACCACACAGTCACTAATGTGTACCACATAGAATAGAATTTAGCAGTCTCACACTACCACTTCACATGCCTCCCCTTCTCCCATCAGCTCTATATACCAGGGGTTGGGGACCCCTGGAATACGAGATGTAGATCTACATCTCAATCTCAATCTACATCTCAATCTTACATCTCAATCACAGCAGGAGGTGAGCCACAGGTAAGCATTACTGCCTGAGCCCTGCCTCCTGTCAGATCAGCAGCAGCACTGGATTCTCATAGGAGTGCAAACCGTATTGTGAACTGCGCCCACCTAGGTTGTGTGCCCCTTATGAGAATCTAATGCCCCATGATCTGAGGTGGAACGGTTTCATCCCGAAACCATCACCCTGCCACCCTGCCACCTGAATCCCCTGAAAAAATTATCTTCCATGAAACCGGTCCTGGTGCCAAAAAAGTTGGGGGCCACTGCTATATACTTATGACAACCTGTTTGTTTTAGTCGCTCTTTCATTTCCCTTAAGCTTTGATCCTTGGCTACCCATTTATATTTAAGTTTGAGGGATTTAGATCGAGAATGGCAGTTTGGGGTGCCTGAACATCTCTTCTCTACTATCTGTAACCTTGCAGCATTATAACTTTTTTTTTTTAATCCCTTTACTATTATCTTGGTAGGTTTTCAAGAGGGAAAAGAGGAAAACAAATGTTCTTAACCCATTAACTTCTGGTTAACTTAGCCATAACTTCACAAACAATCCCAGTCGAAATGCTTCCTGAACAAAGTGTTCCTATGAAGGGCATACAGCTCTCAACTAACTAATGTTTTCAGCACTCAGGCTACTCAGCTTCTCTGTTAATCAATCTTTCCCACTAAAAGTGTTTTTAAAGATTCTACTTTCTCTTGATTTTTCATGCAGACCTCTAATTACTCAGTCTTACATATTTCATTGCTTCTTCCCCTGCTCACATCGTTTTTTAGTTGTTTTAATTAATTTTTTAACTTCACATAGAGAAAAATTGAATTTTTTGCTTTCAATTTGTGTTTCTGTGATATATCTTTTCCAGCTTTTTGTTGTTACCTATCTATACCACTATATTTAAAATGTGTTTCTGGTTGCCAAAATATAGTTGGGACTTTTACAAAATTCCAATCAGACATTTTCATGATTTTCATTGTTGTATTTTGACTACTTCCATTTAATATAACTACTGGTGTGGCTGGATTTAGGTCTACTATTTTATTATTTCTTTTCTGCTGATTTTCTCCGTTTCTGTTCCTCTGCTTCCCCTTCCTAGACTTATATGGGATTCTTTTAATATTTTTTAATATTCCATTTTAGTTTAGCTTCTACCTTTTTGACTGAAGAGGTCACATTTCAGCAGAAACCTAAATGAAACGATGGCATGAATCATACACAGATCAGGAGGAAGAGTGCTGTATGCACAGGGACTCACTCGTGTAAAGGTCCTAGGGCAGCAAGGGAGCTCAGCATTTCCAAGGAATGGCAAAAGGCCAGGGTGGCATGACTAGTGGAGAGAAGAGAATGTTTGATGACGGGATCAGAGGTGAGCAGCAGTCGTATCAAGTAATGTCTTGCTTGGTCACAGTCAAGAGTTCAGATTTTATTCTAAGTGTGATGGGAAGCCATCAGAGGGTTTTGAGCAAAGGAATAACTTGATCTGCTTTATATTTTTAAGAGATTTCTGTAGCATCTGTTTAGAGAATAGCATGTAGAGGGGCAAGAGTGGAACCTTAAGCCAGTTGGGAAGCTACTACAGTAGTCCAGAAGAGAAATGATTCAGTTCTGAAACCTGAGTTCTGCTCTTGCCCCAGTACTTACTGGTTGAAAGGAAGATAGCAGTGGCAATCATGAGAGATGATTTAATTCAAAATATGCTTTAGTGGTAGAGCTGACTGCACTTGCTAATGGGTCAGATGTGGGGTATGAGGAAAGAGAGGGGACAAGAATGACTCTCCCTAGACCATCAGCTCCTCAAAGACTGGAACTCTGTCTCATTTATCTCCATATATTAATGCCAGTGCCTTGCCTGAAAGAAGATAGAATTTGGAATTGAGGTCTGAGTTCAGATGTTACCCCAGTACTTACTGTGGAAAGGCCTTATTTAACCTCTTTTGAATACCAGTTTCCTCCTCTGTAAGTTACAATGATAAATTGTGCAGCATTGTTGAGGACCCAGTGTGTAGCAAGTGTGCAACAGTTGTTTAGTGGTTGCTTAGTACTAAATAAATCTTTATACAAAGGATAACATGGGCCCTGCATTTAATTCTCTAACAGCTGCAGTCCCTTGTTCCCCATCTCCATTATCTCACTCTCTCCACCTCAACACTGTTGCCCATTGTTTTCTTGCCTACTACAAACAGGCAGGTTCTTTATTTCCATCTACCTGAGGGTATACCTAGTGACACAGCTCAAAAATATTTTTAATATATCAAAAAGCTTAAAGGTATTCAAACTTTGAGATCACATTTATTCATAGCGTAAACTTCCTCAAAGGTAAATGATTAAGTTGCACAGAATCTCAAAAAAATGACTCCAGAAATAGAAAAAATAATCATCTTGGGAGATGAAAAGAACAGGATGTACTCCACTCCATATGTTATTTTGCAGTTCCTCAGAGACAAAGAAGCAAAACTGTTATTATTTAACTACACATTTCAAATTGCTATTTAATTTTTACCTCCTGTTTCTTAATCTAAGAGTTACAAACAGACAATAAAAATAAAAAGTTAAAAATGAGGATGAATTTTGTTTAATTATTCTTTTTTTTTTTTTTTTTTTTTTGAGACGGAGTCTGGCTCTGTCGCCCAGGCTGGAGTGCAGTGGCCGGATCTCAGCTCACTGCAAGCTCCGCCTCCCGGGTTTACGCCATTCTCCTGCCTCAGCCTCCCGAGTAGCTGGGACTACAGGCGCCCGCCACCTCGCCCGGCTAGTTTTTCGTATTTTTTTTAGTAGAGACGGGGTTTCACCGTGTTAGCCAGGATGGTCTCGATCTCCTGACCTCGCGATCCGCCCGTCTCGGCCTCCCAAAGTGCTAGGATTACAGGCTTGAGCCACCGCGCCCGGCCTAATTATTCTTTAATGAAATACATTTAAACTACCTGTTTCATCTGAATACCTTGTCTATGCTTTTTTCTACTGATTCTGAACGCCTGTCACCACTAACTTAAAAACCTGTTACCAGTAGCCCATTCTGAGCAACTATTTCCTGCCCTGTTTGAAACAGATTTATTTTGCTATATTTGCAAAGGGAAAAGAGGAAAATTTTGAGAAAGTTACCACTAAACAGCAGAGTACACGTTACAGGAATCATTTTATTTACTAAGTAACTTGAGTTTTGTCTGTACTCCCTTAAAAGAAGTGATGGTCTTGATCAAATTAGAAATGTCTAAAAATGTATTGGCTGTTTATCTGTAATCCAAACAAAGCAAAAATACACATTTTTTTCACAGAGTGTATTAGTCATTTCAAGTATTTTAATAGAATTCTTGCTAAAGTTAAGCTATCACTCATTAATATTGCCAGTTGATAATAATAAAATCTTGTTCACTAGTTCTCAGAAGTCAATGTGCAAAATCAAGTGGGTTCTTCACATAACAGGAAGGCTTACCTCTAATGCAAAGCCATACTGGTCTAGTTCTAGGTAGATGAGTCCACGATTAAGGAACGTATTTAGTTTTACAGTTTCTGTAGCATCAAGAAGCAGCACAATTCCATAATCTGTTAATGCCTAAAAATAAAATAATCATTTGTAACATAGATTCAGCTTTTTAGAGCCTGAATTCATTGGCTATGAACAAATATATTTATGTCCAAACTAGGACCCAATGGTTAGTTCAATTTGTTTTATAATTTATGGCCAAAATAACCATATGTTAGATTTAAAGGGTACCCTTAAGCAAAAAGTATCATGGACACTTTTCAATAAGCAGTGCACACTGTGCTTGCATTTCATGTTTTACCTGCAAGTCACCCCATACATTTTCATTGGTGTATGGGCTGGAAGAGAGGGATTTAGCACTCTGCCCTGACTCAGTAGTTTCATCAAATGATCATTAAATATATAATTTCTTTTTAGTGTTGTATTGTTTTCCTTGCTGAAACCTAAGCTCTATGAAGCCATAGCTTATCCATTTTGTTCACTGTTTTAAGCCCAGTAACAAGAATCAAGCCTGCACATACCATGCATTCAATAAATTTGTATACAATGAAAAAGTCATGAATCAATGAAAATAGATCTTAATAAAACTAACAAATAAGCACTTGTATGAAAGTTACCTCAAAATATTTTGATAAATATATTCATTTTTCTAAAAGACACATAGTGTAATCTGAGAATCAACTCAGACCCTTCTCCATTACTTTTACCTTTTTTTGTTTTTTTTACATTCACTGACTAAACAAGATTTTACTGGTTTCTACTCTGCACTAGGTACTAGAAGCATCCTAAACTTGGGTTGGAGCTGAATCTCTTAAACCATTTTCCTACTGAACATTCTGTCCAAAACAGCCATATGGTCTGAACACAAAAGGGCTAAATCTTATTATGCCTGTAGCATCTGCCAACTGAAAATGACAAAGAGCATTTTATATTTGTTCATTTGCCCTCCTCTGGTGTTTCCTAATGTTGGGTGCTCAAGTGTCTTTAAAAAATGTGCAGTTAAAGATCCTATAGGTATGTTGTGGCATAACCATAAATAAAAATTGCCAGGACTGTAAAAATAAATAGTAATATTTGTCAAAAAAGAAAAAACCAAACCTAGAATATTAGCCACAAATTGTCTAACATTTTTCTTTTACTAAATTACATTATGTGAAACCAGTATGATGCCTTGGAGATCCACTGAGCAGCTGAATCTGCAACACAAGAGGAAATAAAAACTGGGAAATAAGATTTCGTAAAGATCAATGATGGTAAGGGGTAGGGATGGGAGCACACAGGTTTTGATTAAGAGGAAGGGTCAGGGCCTTGGCCTCTCCTGGATTTGTGCCATGCCTCTGTTATCATTACTAACTCCTCAATTTGGAGAAAATTACTTAACACTAAGCCTTAGCTTCCTCATCTGCAAAATTGGCGTGTTAAAAATTCATCATATTGTTACAAGGATCTACTTAAAAATGTTTTGATTGTATCTCAGTGAAGCATTTAGCTCAGTTCCTGTCACACAATAAACCCTAAATAAGTGGTAACTGTTCAGTATTTTTATTAATATCAAGTGTTAGAACCAGAATTCATCTTTCCTTAGTTTTTATGAAACTATATCTTGGGAGAATGCCTAAGTGCATTTTCTGCAGAAAGTTACTTGGTTTTTCTCAGGCTAGGGATGGCAGGAATGCTGAGAAACAGGTGGAGGAGGACACACTGCTTAATGACATCCAGTCCACATGCTGGAGGTCAGACGGTTTTACAAAGCCACCTAAACACTGTTAACCCAGAAGCAAACAAATTTGTGGACAACAATACAGGTCACTAACTCCCTCTGTGTGACTTGGATGGTTTTTCGAACCTCTCCCTACTTCCATTTCCTCATCTGTAAAGTTAGCAGATTGGATAAAATGCTTCAGAGTCCTGGCAGCTCTGAAATCACCAATATTTTATTATCGTAATTTAGTTTTACTTGATTTAGGTAGTTTTCCATTTTCTTTATTAACAGGGCACTGGCTCTTTCACATATCTGAGATAACAAAACAATGAGTGTTCCCTCCCCACCCCAGCCCATTGTTCTCCTATTCAGGGTTACCTTTCCTACAAGAATGGGGTTGGGGAGGGAATCCTCAAAGGCCCCTGTTGTGCAGGTCACTCTAATAAATGATCTTTCTGTCAGCTGCTAGCATCTTAACAATCCCCTTGTTAAAAATTAGCTATTCATTTATCAACATCTCGGAAGGAAACCTGATAATCTGGTTACCAAGAATTTTATATCCTCTTAGGTAGAGACAAAGTTTCTCAACTTCCCTTCTAAAGCTTGTACATTTCTAAATTTCTAAATGTTTTAAACAGATTTCACTGTCCACGTTTCACAGACTGGGGAGTGTGTGAACAAAGAACAGCAGGAATGTGACCTAGCCTTTTAAAAGAATGCGTCATTTACTACGGACATGGGCAGGAATAAGGAGAGGGAGGCAAGTAACAGAGGAAGAGGATGGGACATTATTCTGAAAGACCACAAGACTAGCTGCTCCCCAGTGAGGAATCCTCATTGAAAAGGGACCAAACCAACAGAGGAGAGAAGAGAGTAGGTAAGATTACAAATATAAACAAGAGTTTGCTCCGGCAGACGCTGGATCAAGACAAATGGAAAAAAAGGTTTGCTGCAGCCCACAGGCCTTCAAAATATGGGCCAAACCTGGTCACTGGTCCCTGGAGCTGAAAACCATCACTCCATACTCCGTGCTACATGTGTGGTCTGAGGACCAAACAAAAGAATGCCTACACAAACTGCCGTAGCTAATATTAAAATTTTGAAACCACAATATTGCTAGTGATTGCTACTGCTTTAAAAATTCTGCACTTTGGGAGGCCGAGGCAGGCGGATCACGAGGTCAGGAGATTGAGACCATCCTGGCTAACATGGCGAAACCCCGTCTCTACTAAAAATACAAAAAATTAGCCGGACATGGTGGCAGGTGCCTGTAGTCCCAGCTACTTGGGAGGCTGAGGCATGAGAATGGCATGAACCCAGGAGGTGGAGGTTGCAGTGAGCCAAGATCACAGCACTACACTCCAGCCTGGGCAACAGAGTGAGACTCCGTCTCAAAAAAAAAATAAAAAATTCTGCATACGGTAGAAACATTTATTCAAATGATAATTATGTGATGGATTTAATTTATAAATGCCTTTAAATGCTTCTATAAGCATTATCAACTTAATTTTTCATTTGACTTCTTTCAGAAATTATATAAGAAAATTTCGTGAGCACCAACAAAGAAATTAAATATTCTTTGAAATGGTTCTTTGGTTTCTCAAGTTTTATATGTGTGTATTTCTTAGGAATTCCTTTTGAAAATTCTAGCAGAAGTAATAAGAAAATACTTTATAAATGCCTCAAATGAATTTACAAATGCTTTAATGTATTGTTTATTACATGTTTATTGACTGAAATCAACAAGCTATTTAATGCATGTTATTTATTAAACACTTTAAACACATTGTTTACTAAAATGGTCATCTTACCATTTGAAGTTCCCTTATCTTGGTGTAACATAATGCTCTGTTATAAAATGCTATATAACTATTTTTGTCCATGCTGATAGCTGTGGTTAAATCTGTAATTGCTAGCTTATAAGTCTAAAAAGAAAAAAGTAATTATGTGAGAAAGGAAAATCATAATGGACTGAAATTTAATCATAAAATAAATTCTTGTTTCTATCAGAGTTTTTGAAACACTCATTTAACCATTCCTTGTATCATCTGTGAAATTAACACATTGAAGCTAATCTTTCATAGAGTTAATTAAGAAAATCCCCTGGTAGAAATTATCATTATAGTTTCTCTTACCTACAAACAAAATTAAATATATCAACAACTTTAATTTAGGTAAATATCTTATTACCAGTGTTGGTATATGGCAAGGAGAAAATCATACTTCTAGGTAAAATAAAATAAAGCCAACCATATTAATGCAGCAAACATTCACCAGTGCTTGCTTGCTTCTGTCATTGTGACTGTCATATCACATAATCAGCATGTTTTCTACCCTTGTTCTCTTTTGCTTCCTCTTTGATTCTTCTCTGATACCTTATATCATCCATTTCTATAGATAGTAATTTTCATGGAATTAACACATAATGCAAGGTCTTACCTTTGCTTTAAGGCATTATTTGTAAAAATTTCATATAAAATGGCTACAAAGAAAGATCAGAAAAGAAAAGTAGAGAGAAATAAAGTATTCAGTGCAGTATCAATGGTACTGCTCACAACTTTTAACCCAGTAACTTCTGTTTAAGAACCAATCATAAACCCAAGCAGCAATTTTGTTCTCAGATGTATATAACTATATTATTTTAAACAGTAAAATAGTAAAAATTTTAAAAACAATCAAAAAGTTCAACAATAAAGTAATTAAAAGTAAATTATGGTGGAATATTATGCAGTCAGCAAAATACTATCTTCAAAGATTAAGTGTAAAAAGCAGGGCACCAAACAAGTTATATAAGTAGCATAGTCCAAATTTTGGAAAATATATATCATATTTTATGAGGAAAGTAAAAGACTAAATACAAATATGACAAATGCACTCAGGAATTATCATTGATGGTGAGATAATAATCCTTTATTCCCTTCCGTATTTTTCCAAATTTTCTGCAATGAATATATGCTACATTCTTAATAAAAATAAATAATAAATGTTATTTAAAATGTAATATAAAAAATAAATACCATTATTTTGTGAAAAAAATATGAATTGGGAAAGTGTAAAGTTTTCTATGTAGTTCTGCCCTTCATATCACAGTGATTCCCAACCACAAAGAAAAAAAGTAAGTGAGTCCCCTGCCTAGCATAAGAGTCTTCCCACCCTAAAATTTCAGTAAGCCAGGCAGGAAATGGCCCTACCTTGTTGTAGTATTTCAGAACTCCTCTGTAGAGATAGGCACGTACGCTCTCAGGGTAAATTTTTATAGCCTTGTTACAATTCAAGATTGCTTTGGAATACCTGCCTTTTAAACCATAGAATGCTACTCGGCTTAAATATGCCTATTCAGAGAGAGAGAGAGAGAAAGAAAGCAGGAATGGGTGCTTTAGTAAAAGCACCAATTCTACCAAAATATATGATACTTGGAACAAATCTATGCCTCCCAAAGAGGGTATTAAAATATAGTCTTTTAAAAAAATTTCTTTTATTAGAAAAAAAATTTCAAATGACACAGAATAATTGAAAGAATGATAAATACCTATTACCTGGAGTTAATAATTATTAACATTTTGCCATATTTCTCTATTTTTTTCCTGCACTATTTGAAAACAGGTTGTAGATATGGTAATACTTTACCCCAAGTCCTCTAGTATGCATCTCCTGTGAAAAAAAGACATTCTCCTACATAACCACACTGCCATTATATATCCAAGATGATTTATAGAAATTTCCTAAAATCATCTAATATTTAGACCAGATTCGAATTTTGTAGATTCCTAAAATCAAGATGCAATCAAGCTTCACCTATTGAATTTTGTGTTGTCTGTATAGTCTATTGAAAGCTAGGAATCTATGTAACATCAAAACAAAAAGTAAGTAAAATTAATGAGTATATAAACTTTAAAGTATTAACAGCCACATTAATATATTAACAATATTTACATACATCACATTCACATATACATTTATATATAACATCATAATATCACTGATGGAAAGAATACTTTTAGTTTAAGGAGAAATACAGCTATTTGGATTATCAAAATACAGTTAAGTGAAAAGTAGGTATAAGAAACTGATTGGTGCTAATTAATAACAATGGCATATAAGAGATTTAATAGTTTTACCAAAATTAACACTTTACAACTCACTAAAAACATCTATTTAAATACCTGGTAATGTTTTGGATTGAGGGTAATGGCACGATTAAAATCCAGAATCGAGCTATCCTTGTGGAGTTTCACTTTACAAAGCCCTCGTTGATAAAAGCTTTCTGCAAAATCTGGATTTGCTTTCACAGCTTTTGTAAAAGAATCAAAAGCCTACAGGAGCATATTGTCAAAATGCAAACCATTTAGTGACATAATATATTGTTTTAAAATGTTAATGAATTACAGTATATAACTATTGTTGAAGAGTTTCACTCTATTTGTGGATTATTTTAATACATTTCTCCTAATGGATCTCATGGAACAAATAAAACTAATATTTAGAAACAAGTAGAGATGATTATTATAATTAAAGGTCTTATTCCCAGACTAAGGTCTACATAATCCATATTGTTATATTACAAAATATTTTGGGTGGTATAATTTTAATTGTTATTCAGATTTTGTTTCTTCAAAGAAATCACAACTAGCACATTTATTTTCCATTAGGATCCAGCAAATGCATCATTATAAAACTTCAGAACCACAGAACTCTAAAAATTTTCCCCACATTTTAAAGCAAAGCTGAGTTTGCTCTTGTTGTTCAAAAGGACTAAAAACATGTAAAATATTTGTAATTTGTCTCATACTTACTGGAATTTCTTAATAGAACAACTAATCAAGTGCACCTCTTTTTTTGTGTATACCAATACCACTTTAAAACACTGTCCACTCCATGAACCTAAGAATTAGAATGATGTGTGTGTATTTGTGCGTGCGTATGTGTGTGTCTGTGTGTGTCTGTATGTGTGTGTGTGTGTGTCTGTGTGTGTCTAGAGATACAGTTGTAGAATATCCAACATTAGCCATCAGATAGTATCAATTATTTTACATATTTGTCATATCAGTGATAATTTTGAAGTAAAGACTTGCCTAAAATCACCAAAGACTGGATAAATATGTAATAATTGAATCAACTGTTTTTCAGTGTATCTGGCCATCTTAACAACCCGTTTCAATCTGATTTGAATTGTTCAATGATCAATAAGAAAAGCCAGAATGCCCTAATCTTTTCCATTTATTCTACATTATGTTAAAGCATTTAAAGTACTTAAAATTTAGTAAGTGAATTCATACTAATGTGATAAAATTATTTTACTGTAATAATTTCCTGCAGTTAGATTTATTGTTCTGGTGGGAAACATACATTAATCTTTAGAATATTGTTGACAAACAAGCATCAAATAAAACATGTTGGCTAAATAAAACAATGTCCTAGGTGTTGCAGGGTGCAGACTGACTATAATGAGCCAAGCTTCAAAAGCAGCTTTGGACCAGTTGCCCACTGTATACGTGGTCTTCGGAAACAGAATTGCATACAAGCAACCAGTCTCTAAAATTACAAATAATCTATACTCCTAAATACACGAAATACCATTTGTAAATTGCCTTCCTCCATGTAACAAAGACCCAAGTTATACAGACAGTCTGCTGAAATTGCTGTGGTGTTTGGTCCTTTATCGGAATGAGAAATGACATCCAAAGCCTTCTTAAGCATTTTCACAGCTTCCTATAATGATAAAAAAAGCAGGGAGGGGGCAGGAAATGTTTCTTTCCACTATTGATTTAACATTACAGCCTTATATGTTAAAAGGAGCACAGAGCACACACCTCTACTCTTACTTTATCTGGGAACAAACAGACCTGGTGAAGTTACAGGTCTTGTCAGCACACTACAGGAAGAGAATCCAGTTCAGAAGTCTTACCCTCATGAGTTCCACCCAGATGCCTATCCTACAAGCCAGTACTTAAACAGGTTTATGGACATGGATCTTTAGAACTAAAATTTGTAAATTCCCAAGGCTATACTCAAGCTTAAGTCAGGCTTAAATTTATAAACTAGTTTATTGATAATTTCCTAATATTTTTTTTGAATGGAATACTAGGAAGCTACTAGGTAGTAAAAGATCTCCACTGATAATATCTGACATAATTTTAATCAATTTTTATTGTGTCCTGCTGTCCTCCTAATAGGGTTTTATTGGCATCAAAAAAATAAACCACCTCCAAAACTCACCCATTTATTTATTCAAAACACTCAAAAGTCTCATTAATGAAAACGTTCAAAATAGTCAAAAGTTTCATTAATGAAAAAGTCTCATTAAATGAAAAACTCAAAAGTCTCATTAATGAAAAAGATAGAAATGCCATTTAATACTTAACTACTCCTTGTATATCTTTATATAGAAAGTCAAATAATTGTTCCTGGTCACACCATCTTCTTAATTGTATTAAGTTGCTAAAGAAACAATGAGATTTCACTTGGATATGCTAAGTGTCCTTTATGGCTTCTATCGAGCATTAGCTCTACGTGTTTGCAAGTCACCCAGCATCCCTCCTTCTGTCCTCACTCTCAGCACATGACCTTGCCTAGAAAAAGTGGATTATTGTCTCAATTTCCCCCCTTTCTACTTTTCAACAAATCTATATCTTCATTCACTTTAACCTTTTTCTCTCCTGTCTTTGAATTGCTTTCTTTCTCATTCCTTGCAGGGCTAACTCCTCAAAAGCTGTCCTTGACCCCATCTCCTTCTGCCCCACCTGACCAACCTGTTACTTCCTTCCTTGTCTGGATTTCTGCCCCTTCACTGACTCCTTAAGTCCAAAAAAACTTGTCTACTCAAGCCTTCCATCCCGTTTAAATTAAAATGAACACATCTTCACTTCCTCCTGCTTCCCCCATCTCTCTCTCTTTCACTACTTTATGGTGTCATCTGAGGGACATCTGCAGAGGCTTGCAGATAAGTCATCTTTATGGTCTGCAGAAAGTACTGTGGCTGCTGTGTGGATAAAAGCTTGGAAGAGTACAACAATGCAGCTATATAATTCAAGAAAAATTTTTTTAATTATATGTTCCAAACCAGGATAATAGCTATAGAAATAAAGAAAGAAAGTGGATTTGAGAAATATCTAGGAAGTAGAACCAAGAAAATATATATACATATTAACATCACTATTTATTACTATATTTCTATAGTATATATAAATACTATATATCACTATTTATTACTAGAACCAAGAGAATATATATATATATACACACTAATATCACTATTATATTAACATCACTATTTATTGGATGGAAGAGGGTAGCTGATGGTGACATCAGGTATCCAGCTAAAGTCACAGGGGACAGGCCGGGAGGAGGAGATTAAAGTAAATATAAAAAAGCAGTCCTCAAAGAATACAGAGACCAAAAACTCCAAATGTGAACAAAAGAGTAGACATGATCCATACTGAGAAATGATCACAGAATCTGCAATAAGAAAGCCGGGCACAGTGGCTCACACCTGTAATCCCAGCACTTTGGGAGGCACAGGCAAGTGGATCTCCTAAGGTCAGGAGTTCAAGACCAGCCTGGCCAACATGGTGAAACCCCATCTCTACTAAAAATACAAAAATTAGCTGGGCATAGTGGTACGTGCCTATAATCCCAGCTAGTCAGGAGGCTGAGGCAGGAGAATTGCTTGAACCCAGGAGGCAGAGGTTGCAGTGAGCTGAGATTGTGCCACTGCACTCCCACCTGGACGACTGAGCAAGACTCCATCTCAAAAAAAAAAAAAAAAGAAAAGAAAAAGAAAAAAAAACAAGTCAATGAAGTTAGCAAGAGTGCTTGATTCCAAACCAGAGGTGCATTCATTTTCTATCACTACAAGTCAAATTACTACACGTTTAGCAAATGATAGTAACAAGCATTTATCACCTCACAGTTTCCACAGGTCAGGAGATTGGGCATGGCTTAACTGCGTCCTCTGCTCCAGGTCCTACAAAGCTGCTATCAATATGTCAGTTGAGCTACATTCTCCTCTGTAAACTTGACTGGGAGAATCAGTTTCCAAGCTCATTCATGTTGTTGGCAGACTTCATTTCCTTGAGACTACAGGACTGAGAGCCCCAGCTTCTTTTTTTTTTTTTTTTAATTTTAAGTACCGGGGTACATATGCAGGATGCACAGGTTTGTTACACAGGTAAACGTGTGCCATGGTGGTTTGCTGCTCCTGTCAACCCACCACCTAAGTATTAAGCCCAGCATGCATTAGCTATTTTTCCTAATGCTCTGTCTCCCTCCACCCTTCTTCCTACAAGCCCCAGTGTGTGTTGTTCCCCTTTCTGTGTTCATGTGTTCTCAGTGTTCAGTTCCCACTTACAACATGCAGGGTTTGGTTTTCTGTTCCTGCATTAGTTTGCTGAGGATAATGGCTTCCAGCTCTGTCAATGTCCCTGCAAAGGACATGATCTCATTACTTTTTATGGCTGCATAGTATTCCATGGTGTATATGTACCACAATTTCTTTATCCGGTCTATCATTGATGGGCATTTGAGTTGATTCCACATTTTTGTTATTGTGAATAGTGCCACAGGGAACATACACACACATGTATCTTTGCAACAGAATGATTTTTATTCCTTTGGATATATACCCAGTAATGAGATCGCTGGGTCAAATGGTATTTCTGCCTCTAGATCTTTGAGGAATCCCAAACCATCTTACACAATGGTTGAAAAGTATAAAAGCATTCCTATTTCTCTGTAACCTTGCCGACATCTGTTGTTTCTTTTTTCTTTTTTTTTTTTGAGACAGAGTCTCGCTCTGTCACCCAGGCTGGAGTGCAGTGGCCGGATCTCAGCTCACTGCAAGCTCTGACTCCCGGGTTTACGCCATTCTCCTGCCTCAGCCTCCTGAGTAGCTGGGACTACAGGCGTCCGCCACCTCGCCCGGCTAGATTTTTGTATTTTTTAGTAGAGACGGGGTTTCACCGTGTTAGCCAGGATGGTCTTGATCTCCTGACCTCGTGATCCGCCCATCTCGGCCTCCCAAAGTGCTGGGATTACAGGCTTGAGCCACTGCACCCGGCCGCATCTGTTGTTTCCTTACTTTTTAATAATCACCATTCTGACTGGTGTGATGCAAATAAAAACCACAATAAGAGATACCAGCTTGCTGGCTATTGGCTGCACTCAGGTCCCAGTTGCCCACAGTTCCTCACCACATCACTCTCTCCACAGGAAGTCACAACAAGGCCAGCAGGAGAACCTCTCTCTCTTTACTCTGCTAAGAAGGTCTTATATACTCTGCTAAGAAGGTCTTATATACTGTAACGTAATTGGTGGAGCAACACCCCACCAATTTTGCCATATTCTATTGGTTGGAAGCAAGTCACAGGTCCTGCACATACTCAAGGAAGGTGAGGAGGTAACATAGGGTATGATTAAGAATAATCTTAGAGGCCAGGTGCGGTGGCTCACGCCTGTAATCCCAGCACTTTGGGAGGCCAAGGCGGGTGGATCACGAGGTCAGGAGATCGAGACCATCTTGGCGAACACGGTGAAACCCCATCTCTACTAAAAATACAAAAAAATTAGCCGGGCGTGGTGGCGGGCACCTGTAGTCCCAACTACTCGGGAGGCTGAGGCAGGAGAATGCCGTGAACCTGGGAGGCGGAGCTTGCAGTGAGTCGAGATCGTGGCACTGCACTCCAGCCTGGGCCACACAGCGAGACTCCGTCTCAAAATAATAATAATAATAATAATCTTAGAGTGTGTCTACCAGATGACTCCAATGATCTGGCCCCCAGTAATTCAACATTCTTACCACATGCAAAATACGTTCCTCCATTCCAAAGTCCCCCAAAGTCTCAGCTCATTATTGCATCAGCTCAACATCTAAAATTTCATCATTTAAAGCAGGTCCAAGTCTAGATGAGGCATTCAAGTAAAATCCACCAGGTCCCACTCCTGGGGCACAATTGCTCTCTCTCCATCTGTGAACTTGTGAAATTAAAGAGACAAGGCATCTGTCCCCAAAACACCCAACGTACAATGGTGAGATAGGCATAGAATAATATCCACAGATATTCTGGTTTAAAAGGGGAAAATGGGAGATTAAAATGAGCCACTGGTCCATGGCAGTTCTGAAACACATTTGGGCAAACGCTCAGTCTCTTGATTAGGTTTCAAAACATTTATGGCCCTTAGTGTCATCCTGTGGGTTCTTAGTCTTGCCTTCTGGGTCCTTTTTCCTTTTTTATAAAAGGTTGTACATGTTTGCAGCTGAGTTGTTTTATTAACCTACTTCCTGCCAGAATGATTTTGAGGTCTGACAGCCTTCTTTCATTTTGTACTCTGTCTGTTTGAGTCCAAATTATCAGTGTTTATAAAGAAATAATTCTCTTAAAAACTCTGGGGATCTTCCATGGATTTCACAGGGATTCACTTCATTAGACAAAAGCCACATCCACTATTTTCAAGAAAATTCCTTCTCTACTTTGGCCTCCTGCTGAGATGTCTGAGGGACAATGCCCTTAAGCTTCTAGAGATCCTCTGGTTTGGTTAAGAAGATTTGTAAGGCATGTCCTTAATCTCTTGAAAGGAAAGAGAACTAGTGTGACTGAATACTCTGCCCTCATGATCCTTCTAAGATCTTAGCAAAGTGCTGTCCAGCCACACCTTGTCCTTTTCTCTTGATAGTGAATTTTGTCCTCTTTTGCCATCTGGAGAAGTTGAAAATTTTCCACATAAGCAAGTCCTGGTTTATTTTGTTTAACAGTTCTTATGTCTCCTTTCTCACACTTTACTATTAGAAGCAAAAAGAAAGCTGGCAGCACTGTCAACACCTTGCTTGGAAATTATCTTAGCTGTGTATCCAGGCTCTGAGTTATTAGTTCTGCTTTCCATACAACTATATGAGAAAATTTTACTAAGCTTTGAACTGCTAAATAAAAATAATAACATGTTGCTCATTTGCTTCAGAGTCCTCAATGCTAGTGTCTTTAAAAACCAGGTATCTACTAACAGTCTGTTTGAGGTGATTGAAGATTTTTCTGTCATGTTCCTCAAAATTCTTTCAGCCTCTGCCCACTGCTTGATTCCAAAGCTGCTCCTACATTTGTAGGTATTTGTTATAGCGGCACTCCATCTGTATTATTTTCTTATTGCTGCAAAAAATAAAAAATACCACAAACGGAATGCTTTAAAACAACACACATTTCTTATCTCACAGTTTCCAGGGCCCAGGAGTCTGGGCATAGCTTAGCTGAGTCCTTTGCTTAGGGTTTCCCAGGCTTCAGTCAAGGTGTCAACTGTGCTACATTCTCATCTGAAAACTTCTTTTTTCTTCTTTTAAGCTCATTCTGATTGTTGGTGGGTTTCGTTTTCTTATGGCTGCATGACTGAGGGTCCAGGCTTCTTATTGGCTATTGGCTGAAGATTGTTCTGAGGTCCATGAGGCCACAGCAGTTCCCCACCATGATACCCTCTCCACAAGCAGTTCATAGTATAATTCTTTGGTTTTTTTTAAGGCCAGGAAGGGAATTTCTCTCTCCAGTCTACTACATAACGTAATATAATCATGGAAGTGACATCCTATCATCTTTCCCATACTCTGTTGGTTAGAAGCAAGTCACAGGTTCCACTCACACTCAAGGTCACACAAGCGCACAACTTGTTGAGGGTCACCTTATCATGTGTCCAAGAGGAAAGAAACCAGATTGTGGTGAGCAGCAGAATGAGTGGAAAGTGAGGAAATGAAGATAAGGGATATAAACAATTTTGCAAGATTTGGTTGTGCCAGAGAAAAGAGAAAAAAGCCAGTAACTGGAGAGGTCAAGAGAGCAAAAATAAAGGTTTTTTAGTTTTCATACTAAAGGTAGTTTCTCATGATTAAATGCTTATGGAATGAAGCCTATAAAAAGTCTTAAAATGCCCAGGGAGAAAAAAATAGGAATAATAATGGCTAATGTTTATTAAATGTGTGTCATGTACTAGATATTAAAGCATTAAATAATCTTTCAAAGAAGACATCCTTACAATCTTTGGACAAACTCATTCACTAAATAGAAAGAAGAAATACTCTCCAAATAATCTTATAAGATCAATACTCAAATCCCACAAAACTAATCTCACTCATAAATATAGACACAAAGATCCTCACAAGCAACTCAAATTTAGCAATGTCTACAAAAAGATTATATATTCCGATCAAGTTGGTTTAACCCAGGAATACATGGTTGGTCTAATACTAAACAATGTCATAGATTACTTAATTTCATGTGTGACATATAATCTGCTACATTAGCATATTAAAGGATAAAAATATAATAATTGTTTCAATACCTGATGAAAAATAATGTGATAAAATTCAAAATGGAAACAGAAAGGTTATTTAACCTTTACTTTGTTTAAATTATCTACAAAAATCAATCCCAAACTTCATTCTTAGGGGTAAACTTCCTTTAAAATTTGGAAGAAAATAAGGGTGTCTTTGTCACTACTTTTAGTCAGTATTGTCTTGGAGTTTCTAGCCAGCACAGTTAGACAAGAATAAGAAACAGAATACATAAAAAGAAAGGAAAAAAATAAAACTATTATTATTTATAGATGACATATTTTCCTAGTTATGAACCCAAAAGAACAGACCTAAACATTTTCAGAAATAAGCAAGTTCAGCAAGGTGGTCAGCTAGTAGATAAGTATTCAAACATCAGTTTCATTTCTACAAGCCATCAGCAAACAGAACATTTTTTAAAAAGATACCCTTTATAATAGCAGCAAAAACTATGGGAAAAAAACCTAGAAAACTAGGAAATTTTTAGCAATGGATATGTAAAATCTATTCAAAAGAAAAAGTGAAATAAATGGGGAGATATATCATTATGATCATAAACTAAAGAATTCAATATCATAAAGATGTCAATTCTCCCTAAAATAATCTAAAGATTCAAAATTTCAAGAGAGTTTTTAATGGACCTTGGGCAAGCTAAATTTAACACATATATGGCAGAGTAAATGCTGAAGAGTAACCAGGAGTTTCCTAGAGAAGAATATGGTGTGGGGACTTGCTCCACCAGATATCAATAATTTCAATGAGGCTATAGCAATTAAGACATTGTACTACTGGGCCAGTAATAGAAAAATTGACCAAAGGAACAGAACAGAGAACCTAAAATAGCACATGATCCACACATATGTGAAAACTTGTAATAAGATAGATGTACCACTGCAGATTTTTGGGTTAAGAAGAACATCTCAATAAATGTTACTGAAACATTTAAATACCCATATGGAGAAAACTGAAATTTTATCACTCTCTCATGCTAAAAAAGAATAATCTTAAGATAGAGTAAGGTCTTAAATGGAAAAAGAAAAACTTAAACTTTCCAAAGAAAATAGGGAAGAATATCTTGACCTTGGAGTAGAAAAGGGCTTCCTAAACAAGATGTTTTTAAAGACGCCCTGATGACAAATTTTAAAATAGACATATTCAACTACACTAAACTTCAGAAGTTCTGTTCATCAGAAGACACCGTAGAAACAAAACACAAGCCACAAACTGTAAGAAGATACTCAGCACACAATTGAGGATTAGTATACAGAATTTATATCTTAAATACCTAAAATCAATAAGAACAAGAGAAATGAAAAATATGTATAGCAAATTGATAGAACAGGAAATATGAGTGGCTTATAAACATAAAAAGATTCTCAACCTGATGCTCAAACTGAGAAGTGTGAATTAAGACCACGAGACATCAATTTTTATCCACCAAATTGGCAAAAATAAAGCCTAACAATATCAATTACTATAAAAGATGCAGATCAACAGGAACAGGAATACACCTACACTTCGGGTGGGAGAATAAATTGGTACCACCCTATGAAACAATGCGTCATTTCCTTGAAAGTTAAACATTCACATTCTCTACATAACACCAATTGCACTCCTTGAAATATATCCTGGAAAACTACTCCACATGCTGACTGAATACATGAAAAAGAATATTTAGGGCAGCCCTGTTCTTAAGAGGGGGCAATAAAAAAAGAGAGAAAATAACCCAAATGTTAATTCACAGAAAAATAAATAAATAGTATGACTTAATTTTGTGAAAAATATTTGAAGTGGTATACTAAGCACAATATATACACTTCATTAATAGGTTTAGTAAACATTACTCAGAGGACTTTTCACCTTGGTTCTCTTGGCCTTCATTTGAACTTTTGCTAATAGAGCATACATGGTCATCTCAGCTCTATTCCAGCTGATTCCTTCCAAGACCTCAATGGCCTTGTCATGGTTTTCACAAAATGAATAAATGAGGGCTTGCTGTATAGGACTCAACTCAATAAGACCTAAAAGGGAAGGAAAGTTTATCGATATCTTTGCCAAGTATCAAGGATTTTGAATATAATTATTCTAAGGGAGTAATTCAATAATTTATCTTTATAATATGAATTAACAAATCAACAAATTATAAAATTAACAAATTATACTAAGATTTATTTACTACCAGTAACCAACAAGACATTCCAATTACAAACAAAAAATAGAAAAATTGTAAGCTTAATATTTCCCATAAAAATCTCTCTCACAAAATTCACTGCTATGAATCATTTTACTAATTGGCAATGTACGTATAAAACTAAAGTTTCAAAATCTAATTTGATTTTCAATTGGATCCTTCATGCTATTTATACATAACTATTGCAAAATAGCATAAAAATTTTAAATACTGAAGTATTTCTTAAAAGTTATAATTAATTATATTTACCTTTGTCCATTTCTGCTACTTGATAAATAGTAAACTTTGCAAGATCATAACATTTCATCATAAGAAGATATTGTCCTCTAGAAGAAATAATCGATTTTGATTCCAAGCAGCTAAAAATAAACTTTCTAAAATAAAGTTTCTTATAATCAGTTACTTAAAATTTTACAATATATTTATTCTTATTTACTTATGTATGCATTAAAAAAGTGAAAATTATAGACATTTTGTATAATCTAAATACATCAATTAGCATAGTGATGTGATGAGGAAACTTAGGAAATGTAACGCTGAAAGAAAAATACCCAAATCTCTTTTTGTAATTATCTGTATTTAAAATGTTATACTTTTTGCTGAGAAATTATTAAAAGATAAAGTTCAAGGCATATACAAGGAAGGAGGTATTTACATAAATTGCTAAAATGTGGTTCAAGGACAAAGCAAGCCCTTATCAGTAAAGCATTGTCTCATTCCATTTTCCCAGGTCTATAAATCCTTAAAAGATTATATTTTTGATAGTGATAACTCATAACTTGCAAAGGATATCTTTATAGAAAGTTCTACTACATTTGAAATACTGCATGGAAGTAGGCAGTACCCGTAGAAATGGTATAAAATTCAATATGTCATTTCTTTTCACTGAATTAGTGGAGGTTTATGTTTGGTACATGTGCTCATGTTTGATTGTGGACATAATCAAAACAACTGTTCAAAATATGTTACCTTACTCTTATAAGATATGTGATAACTATATGACTAGTTGCTTAAAAAGGTCTCAAAGAACATAAACACTAAACAGGTATATTTTGATGCAGAGGTAGAGCAAAGGGAAAAATCTGGTTATCTTATGTAATAAACTATCTTAAAGTTTAACAAACTGGCTTGCCGGTGGGGAAATGGCAATTACTGGGAGATTAAGTGTAAAATGGGGAGTCTGAAAGGTTCAAGAGGGAACTGAAGATCTCCATTCAATTTCTCTGATGCTAAATTATCCCAGGAAAAATTCAGTTTCTATGCTCATACCTTCTTATGTATAATTGGATTCCATCTGGCTGAAGGTGGATAGCACGAGACAATTCATTTACTGCCTTTTTCAATTTATGCAACTGTTGAGTGATAAACAGAAACTTAGCTCCTAATAATACCAGTTGCTTCCTTTCTGATATTTATTCTCTCGCCCTTTCTACAGAAATTTTGCAGGTACATCTCCTAACATACATGTTTTTCTTAAGAATCAACAAAGCAAATAGGTTACAGAGAAGTGAAAAGAAAAATTTATGATCTACTCTTAGTTTTTAAAAATAATCTATCTTTAATTTTGAATAATAATTATACATACCCACTTATACTATTTCACACAAATGTGATTATATAATACATTCTGGATTGTGTGCATGTTTGTGTTCTCTTTTATCATTTAGCTTTCAGTTTTTCTCCCTCAACCCTAACAACTTTTTCAGTTAACCTGATCCATCTTAATCAAGTAGCATGCAGGCCAGGCTCAGGCCTCTAATTCCAGCACTTTGGGAGGCTGAGACAGGAGAATCGCTTGATGAGGCCAGGAGGTCAAGACCAGCCTGGTCAACATAGTGAGACCCTGTCTAGACAAAAACAATAATAAGAATAAAGACTAAGAAATAAAGTATCATGCAAAGGACAGTAAGATAAAAACTAAAACTATATTCCACTTAAAAATAAGGGAGGAAGAACAGGCCTGCACAAAAATTAAGTAAATGAATGAATATAACAAAATAAAAAAATGATGAAAAGTAATCTGTTTAACATCAATATATAATGAAAAGTAAACATTAATCATTCCCTTAATACTGGTCACAGAAACTGAATTTGTACAAATTTGGGGACAAAATCAACTACCATTGGAAATACTGACAACAGAGCACTCTGCAGACCAGAGCAAAATTAACCTGGGACAACCAACCAATTTTTTTATTGTTATCGCACAATGATGCAAAGAAGCAAATGTACAAAACTAATTTGTGCATGGAAGCAGGCAGTACCTGTAGAGATGGTAAAAATGTTTGGAGGAAATGGTGGATGGACTCAAAAGAGGGAACAGAAAAGGAAGAAGTTTGAAATTTGTTAAAACAAATTGGAAATTTTCTGTGGAACTTCAGGCCTGCTGCTTCCTAAGCTAACCCTATTCAGGATGGTGTAATTAATAAATCATATAGTCATATGTCCACATTGCTACACCTGTTCTACCAACCATACATGTCTATGCATTGAGGAAACCCTGACTTAAGACAAATGGAGGCACATTCTCAGATCTCTACAAGCTTCCCTGTGGTCCAGAGACATTAGACCACTACCAGGCAACCTTAGATTAGATTTACCCTGGAGGATGAACCCACATAATGAGAGTATGTATTCTTGTACATACATATACAAGGGTTTATTTACAATTGTTTTATTTACATGGAATTGTATTGTACACACTTCACACTCTTTTGTGAGCCCTACTTTTGTAACTCAAAAATATCTCATGGAAACCCTTCCAAGTCAGCTAGCATACTTCTATTATTCTTGTCACCATCTCTGTTACATTCTATGGTGTGAATGCACCACAAACTATTCAATCATTACGGCATAGAGATTTTTGCCTCTCAGAACAGCCTTTGACTATATCCTTACACCTTGCTATCATGCTAGTGTTTTGATTTCTCTATGTGTTCAGAGAAACTCCAACTTCCACAGATGGTCTTGGCTTCATCAACAGGGTTAGGTTAAGCAAAAGAACCACACGCTATGAGTATGTCCATCCTTTCCCTGACAGAGTCAAGAGCTAACATGACCTAATGGCAACACTGAACCTGCCCTGGGTCCCCACCTCCATCGTCCGCAGAGTAAGGACTTTGAATGGGATTCTAGTCACACTGGGTCCTGAGACGTAGACAATGGAGGGCAGAGCCTCCAGGCAATCCTCCAGGGACATATAGTGTGTGCCAGGAATAAACCTTTGTTTTAATACAGTAATTTTGAAGGTTTTTTTTTTTTTTAACCCCAGCATAGCCTAGTTTATCCTGGCTGAAACCATCATAGACAAGAGACAAAGGTAGAAAGGCAATTAGGAGATGGTTCCTGTGGGGTCTTTCAGATCTTTGGCTTTTGTAGAATTTAGCTTTTATTCTAAACACAAGGTAAGCTATTGAAGGGCTTGAGCAAAGAAACGAAATAATCTGACATGTTTTGGCAAGATCACCGTGGCTGCTATTTGAAAATCCTGGTGAGAAACTAGTATTTGGACAGGGCAGTTAGAGGTGAAGTGGTGGAAATGCGTGTCTACTTTGAAGGGTAGAGACAAAAGTTATAGCGTTATCTCTGAAAATCAGATCTGGCTGGAATTGGAGAGGATTTTTCCTATTTATTGTGCTGTTTTAATTTGTCACAGCTGGGACATATAACATTCATTTTTAATTTAAACAACTTATAAAAATTAAACAAAATTAAAGGGAAGTATGAATGGTCAGTATCCCGTTCTATGGATGGATCCCATTGTATAAATCTACCTACTCACCTGTATGTACACACACACACACACACAAAACATTGGACCATAGACTCAAATTGTTTAGAGCAGCTATCCCTAGAGAATAAAATTATATATAATAGCTTTCAGTTTATTTGTATTTGCATGCATATATTACCTGCAATAAATATATAATGCTTTTGTAATAAAGAAAAAAAGGTATTATTTGCAAAAGTGAAAGACATAAAAATGTACACCTTGAAAGTAGAAGCTTTATAAATGAGTAATTAGAGTTAACTATCAGCTTAACACATTGTTTATAAATGCATTAGCCCCTACAATTATCTAAAATATGCATATATATATTAAAATTATGCTGAACAAATATCCAGAAAATTAAAGTTTTTTTTAAAAAAAATGAAGGTTCTCAAGGCTTAAATACCTTAAAATAGGTTTCTGCTCGACAAAGATAGCTTTGAATATATAAAGGATCAATTCTAATAGCCTCAGAAAATTGCCAAATGGCTTCCGTGTAGTTATCCAGGTATAGCAGATGTATGAGGCCAATATTTACATAAGCCAAAGTAGTAGTTCTAAAAAAAAAAATGAGAAAGTGAAATCTTGTTAAACATTTTTCATTATTCCAAATATTCTCCAATTAGGAATAAACTGAATGAAATAGATGCATCAGTATTCATCAGAGTATTTTTTTTAATGTTTTACAAAGGAAAGTAAATTAGCTGCTCTCTGTGAAACACTATAAATACGTTTATGAAACCCTTAGGAGGGAATTAATGTTTTTAGGGTCTGAGCTAGGAACAGAATTCCTGAAGTCTCCTAGACTTTTAGCAAAACTTTACTCTTCTTTGATTTACTTTCCTGTTATCTTGAGTCACAAGCTTAGTTTTTCTCAACTAAAGAGTCTTTACCTCAGGCTATGTTCTATTGGCCATGAGTGACGGTAAGAAACAGTCATATTCAAGGGTTTGGTGGCTTGGGGTTAAAATCCTCTCCACATACATATTAACACAGCTTTTCTGTATCAAATAAATGTTATTTATCTCTCTTAGAATCAAATGATTTTCAGCAGAGAAATAACCTTAGAAATTATCATGTTTGATGCCACTATTTCAAAATGAGAAAACCACCCATCCAATAATCTGGTCTAAAAGAATCCCTGACCCCTTGCCTAGACACCAAAGTTCCTACTTCCCGTTTTCTGTCTCTTTGAAACTGACACTCTTTTCTTTTTCTTTCTGGCTCAAAAATGTCCAAAAGAAAACCACTGTGGTCATTATGGAGTCATGCTCCACGAATTTCCTGTGTCAAATTCAAAGTTTACCTTGGATAGATTAAGCAAACCATCTGCTGGTTGGCAAGGAATTGACATGATTAGTTACTCTTTCTGACACCTTCCCTTTTTTCTTCATTGGAAGAAAGGGGAAATTTTAATTAAATCTGTGATTTACAGTTTGTCTTTCTGACTAGTGCATTTAACTTTCAGTCTGTATTTCTTCCTGAACCTATGGTCTACATGGTATTAGTGTTTTTATTTTGCTTTACTAAACAAAACAAAGCCAGAAGTTCTAAATAGAAGGTTGCCTTCCATTGAGTTGTATGCTATCCATAGCAATCATATACCAAGCAGAATTTTTTTATTATTTTAAAACTTAATGACAGTTTTCCATGAAGTTAATTTCAAAAAGCTCTAGCCTGGGCATCTCCAAAATCCTCAATAGTATTGATTCCTTATCCATGGATTTAACTCCTGTCAAACCCATTTAACTTCTAAAATTTGCAAAAACACCCGAGGCAAACAGATGTTGAGAACAGGTTTTATTTTAGAAGCAATCTTGTTTTTAGAAGTAGTATTCTAATTCTAGGATGACTTTATAAGTGTCTCACTTTTTCTAGGTTATCAACGATTAGGGGAAAGAAACTTTTTCTCCCATTTTAGGTTTTCAATTTTTTACAAAAGTGAAATCAATAAATATGAAAAGGAAAACGTACCTTTCTAGAGAAATAACAGTTTCAAAGTCACAAATTGCCAGCAACCAAAGTTTTAGATGTGCATAGACTATTCCCCGATGTAGAAAACAACCAAGATTCTCATAGCCATCATTTATGAGTGCTTAAAAATTTAAAAAAATGTATTTCATTCAGGTTCTAAAATAACCATATGTAAATTATATTTTAGTCTGTAACCTTCCTATTGCTTATTCTCTTTTTTTTAACATTATATAAAATAGAAACATATCTATGATGAGTGTACTTGTTTGGTAAGTTAAACAATAGTATTGTACATTAAAATGTATTTATTAGTAACAATGTGGCAATTGTGGTTCACCAACTCATTAGAGCTGAACTAAACCCTGATCGGAATCTAGCATAGTCCACTCACTGTATAGGTGAGGAGATTAAAGTCCAAAGGCGGTAAGTACATTGACCACCGTCATGATATGACAGTCAGTGGCAAAGACTGGCCTAGAATCCAACTCCAGTCAGAAGGGTGACATGACCCTTGATGGCCTGATTTTATCAGGAAGCCATCGTTACTGGCCAAGAACAGGCTTGGTTACTAGTCCTGAAGGCAGAAAGCAGAGGTCAGGCTTACACACAAACCAGGATGGACAAGCAAAGAGGCTACACCAAGGCAAGCAGAGCTTGGAGGTAAGGCAGATGGCTTGACTATGCACATCCCAAATAACAACTATCCAGGATGCACATCCCAAATAATGGAAGGGAGAAAAAGAACCTCCTCTCAGTACTCTAGGTGTGTGACTCTCATCAGTAACCAGTCTAGAGGTCATCTCATGTCTCTCGCCTACTGATTGCCCCTTCACTTTCAAAACATGTTAGTGAATTAGATGGGGTTTCCACAAATTTTGACACATATCTTTAAAGCTTCTCATGCCATTCTGCCTTAAGATGGAAAGTTTTGCCAAAATGTGCATAATGTTTACAGTCTAAGACAAAAATATTCACAGTACTAAATTTAGGGAAGTATAGTTAGTGTCAGCAATGATCATAAAGATTAAGTAAATACAGTCATGCACGACTTAACAGTAGGGATATGTTCTAGAAATGCATTATTAGGGGATTTCTTTATTGTGCAAACATCATAGAGTGTACTTTCACAAACCTAGATGGTATATGTTACATATGTATATACATATATCAGGTTTACCCATAGTATATACAGTGCATTTTTGACTGAAACATCATTATGTGGCACATGACTGGTATCACTTGAAGAAAATCTAACTGCTCAGTTCACGGTATGATTGACTAGCAATTGAAAAATCAGCTGCAGTTTGGGTGGTTGCTCTTAACAAATAATAATAATAATAAAACTATTCTTAAGAAAAAAGAAAAAAATATCATTTAACCTCTCTGTGCTGTGGCTTTCTCATCAGTAAAATGTGAATGAAAATAGTACCGAGCTCCTAGTATTACTCTGAATATTGAGATACTTCTTATTTGGCACTTTAAAAAGCACTTTGCAAGTAGCAAAATGCCCAATAAATGTTAGATATCATTATTATTATTATTATTATTATTATTACTAGCTTAGCAAAATATCTTGAGAGTCCTTTTTTGTTGTGGGCGATAAAACTCCTTGGGCTATCTGGTAGGAAAGGATTGAGGCTGAAATCAAGTTTGTCTGCTCTGGATAATTAAATAATAGGAATTTTGTTCAATTATTGTGATAGCCTAGAAGTGGGGAGAGGAGTGCATGAGAAGCCCAAAACTTGTATAAGAGGGAAATATAAGAAAGAAGCCTTTACAGGAAGACCAGAGAGAAAGGGATTGGGCCAGTGGTAGATGGATAGGGCTGACAGAGTCAGATAAACTTCTAAAAATGGGGGTGGTTTGATCTTCAAATTTAAGTTACCTGTGCTAAATTTATCTTCTGAACCCTAAAGCATTCAGTAACAGATTAGTAGACACAACATGTTTGTGTTGATGTTATACTGGGGAATGAAGGACAGACCTGGTAAAAAGCAAAGCCAAGAGAACAGTAGCCACAGAAGTGAGGGTGAGCAAAGATGGGGAATCCAGCCAAAAGCTGAAACTGGACTCAAAGATGACGAAAGAATTAGACAGAAATCCTCAGGCCCCTTTCCCAAGAATCCTTGGAAATAGAGGGGAGGACACTAGACTCCTCTCAATACACAGAATGAAATTTGAGTTATTTTATTTTAACATTAATGAGAAGGGTGACCTCAGAAGGCAAATGGACTTAAGACAATCAAGTAACCATCACCTTAGCTCTTCTTCCCTGTGGAAATCTAGTTGTCTCTTCATCTCTAGACACCGTCTAATCTACAATGATGGGATTCTAGAACTTTGCACCCAGGTGAACACAGGCATATCTGGAGCGTTAGACTCAGGCTGGATTTCATCAGTCAGGATGAGCTCATTCATTCTGTTGGAGTCTGTTTACTGAGCACTGACTCTATGCTCACCAAATGTGCTGGCCACATGCATAAACCAGGAGTGTGCTGATTGAGGGTAACACAGAAATGGCCATTTTTAGCCGTTGGTGTCCTTAGCTACTAAGGATTCCCAAAACCTATTTTTAGTTTATGGGTTAAAAACGCTGAATTTGACAAATCTCTTGGGCTGAGCCTATGGAGCAGGACACAGCCCACCAGGACAATTTACTGCCATTTTAGAAAGCTGACTAGGAAACAGGCCTGGGTTTCCAGAAAAGTCTTTAGAACCCAGTATATTATAGAAAGAGATTTCTTTGATGTCACATTCTCCCCTTGCCACAGTTAACACACACACACACACACACACACACACACACACACAATGGGCATATTAGAAACACTTATAACTAAACCATTATAGCTATATATTCATATATTGTATATCTATATAAGAATATTAAAATGTATAAGCTCATGTAATATATACTTATAATGTATATTAGTATATAGTAGTATACTTATTACATTAGTGGCCCCACTTTACCATTCACCACTATGAAACTGAGCTGTTGAATCTCAGATCAGATTGCTACATACATGTAATTGAAGGCAAAGTACCTGAAACACTGTAATCCTGTAGCGCTCTAAAAGGGTTACTCTTTCTGAATAAGCAACCTCGATAATACAATGCTAACCAGTTATTAGGATCTAAGTGAATTGCAGCAGAAAAATCTTGAGTTGCTTCTTTGTAAAATTTCCGTTTAACATATGCAATCCCTCGGTATGTCCTAGGAAAAAAAGATTTGTTTTAACAAGTATTGTAAAGTATACATTTTCTCTTTTTGGTAAACCTGTACAACTAATTTTATATTTGAATAACAATTTGTAAATGTTTCTCCTTGCTTCACAAGAGAGTTTAGTCATGAAGTTAACAGTAAAAATGATACAAACTTTTTATAAATTGAAGGACACTTTATTGTATACATAATTATATGCTTATTAGGCACATTCTACATATTAATTATATGCTTACTAATTTCATTTCTTACATTTCTCATGGAGGTATGTCAATAAAATAAGCATTATATTTATTATTTATTCATTTCCCAAAATGTATTAAGCACTAATTTATACAAAATTGCTCCCTAGAAAAACAAAATGATCCATTTTGCAGAACATGGGCCCTAGTGAGTAGAAGTTTTAGAAGATTTTTCTCTGGGCCTTGAAGATACATCCAAATATGTGAGAGTCTGCTCTTTCATGGATGAAAGCTATTGCGTTAGTTGTGTAAACTGGATTCCTTTATCATTAACTTCTGACTCCAATTTTGAAATTATCACTGACTTAGATCTATGCTAAAAAACTCATTTTCAGTTAGTTAATAATGTGAAGCATATCCATTGTTAGAAATAAAATAAAGATGACAAGGAAAACTAGAAGAAAGAAGCTACTAGGTTGCCTACTTAGAGGAAATAAAAATAGTGGGAGGTTGCAAGATGGCTGAATAGGAAGAGCTCCAGTCTATAGCTCCTAGTGTGAGCAACGCAGAAGACGGGTGATTTCTGCATTTCCAACTGAGGTACCAGGTTCATCTCACTGGGGCTTGACAGACAGTGGATGCAGGACAGTGGGTGCAGCCCACAGACCGTGAGCCAAAGCCAGAGGAAGCATCACCTCACCTGGGAAGTGCAACGGGTCAGAGAATTCCCTTTCCTAGCCAAAGGAAGCCATGACAGATGGCACCTGGAAAATCGGGCCACTCCCACTCTAATACTGCACTTTTCCAACAGTCTTAGCAAACGGCACAACAGAAAATTATATTCTGTTCCTGGCTCGGAGGGTTCCACACTCACAGAGCCTCGCTCACTACTAGCACAGCAGTCTGAGATTGAACTGCAAGGCTGCAGGAGGCTGAAGGAGGGGCGCCTGCCATTGCTGAGGCTTGAGTAGGTAAACAAAGCAGCCAGGAAGGTCAAACTGGGTGGAGCCCACCATAGCTCAGGGAGGTCTGCCTGCCTCTGTAGACTAAACCTCTGGGGGCAGAACATAGCTGAACAAAAGGCAGCAGAAACTTCTGCAGACTTAAACGTCTGTGTCTCACAGCTTTGAAGAGAGTAGTGGTTCTCCCAGCATGGAGTTTGAGATCTGAGAATGGACAGAAAGCCTCCTCAAGTGGGTCCCTGACCCCCGAGTAGCTGGGAGGCATCAACCAGTAGGGGATGACTGACACCTCATACAGCCAGGTGCCCCTCTGAGACGAAGCTTCCAGAGGAATGATCAGGCAGCAACATTTGCCGTTCTGCAATATTTACGATTCTGCAGCCTCCACTGGTGATACCCAGGCAAACAGGGTCTCGAGTGGACCTCCAGCAAACTCCAACAGAACTGCAGCTGAGGGTCTTGACTGTTAGAAGGAAAACTAACAAACAGAAAGGACATCCACACCAAAACCCCGTCTGTACATCACCATCATCAAAGACCAAAGGTAGATAAAACCACAAAGATGGGGAGAAACCAGAGCAGAAAAGCCGAAAATTATAAAAATCAGAGCACCTCTTCTCCTCCAAAGGAATACAGCTCCTTGCCAGCAACGGAACAAAGCTAGATGGAGAATGACTTTGAAGAGTTGAGAGAAGAAGGCTTCAGAAAATCGGTAATAATAAACTTCTCCAAGATAAAGGAGGATGTTCGAACCCATCAAAAGAAGCTAAAAACCTTGAAAAAAGATTAGACAAACGGCTAACTAGAATAAACAGTATAGAGAAGACCTTAAATGACCTGATGGAGCTGAAAACCATGGCATGAGAACATGACGCATGCACAAGCTTCAGTAGCCAATTCGATCAACTGGAAGAAAGGGTATCAGTGATTGAAGATCAAATGAATGAAATGAAGTGAGAAGAGAAATTTAGAGAAAAAAAGAGTAAAAAGAAATGAACAAAGTCTCCAAGAAATATGGGACTATGTGAAAAGACCAAATCTACATCTGATTAGTGTGCCTGAAAGTGACGGGGGAGAATGGAACCAAGTTGGAAAACACTCTTCAGGATATTATCCAGGAGAACTTCTCCAACCTAGCAAGGCAGGCCAACATTCAAATTCAGGAAACACAGAGAACGCCACAAAAAAAAGATAATCCTCGAGAAGCGCAACTCCAAGACACACAATTGTCAGATTCACCAAAGTTGAAATGAAGGAAAAAATGTTAAGGGCAGCCAGAGAGAAAGGTCGGGTTACCACAAAGGGAAACCCATAAGACTAACAACACATCTCTCGGCAGAAACTCTACAAGCCAGAAGAGAGTAGGGGCCAATATTCAACATTCTTAAGGAAAAGAATTTTCAACCCAGAATTTCATATTCAGACAAACTAAGCTTCATAAGTGAAGGAGAAATAAAATCCTTTACAGACAAGCAAGTGTTGAGAGATGTCATCACCACCAGGCCTACCTTACAAGAGATCCTGAAGGAAGCACTAAACATGAAAAGGAACAACCAGTACCAGTGACTGCAAAAGCACGCCAAATTGTAAAGACCATCAATGCTAGGAAGAAACTGAATCAACTAATGAGTAAAATAACCACCTAACATCATAATGACAGGATCAAATTCACACATAACAATATTAACATTAAATGTAACTGGGATAAATGCTCCAATTAAAAGACACAGACTGGCAAATTGGATAAAGAGTCAAGACCCATCGGTGTGCTATATTCAGGAGGCCCATCTCACATGCAGAGCTCAAAATAAAGGGATGGAGGAAGATCTACGAAGCAAATGGAAAACAAAAAAAAAGCAGCAGTTGCGATCCTAGTCTCTAATAAAAAAGACTTTAAACCAACAAAGATCGAAAGAGACAAAGAAGGCCATTACATAATGGTAAAGGGATCAGTTCAACAAGAAGAGCTAACTATCCTAAATATATATTAACCCAATACAGGAGCACCCAGATTCATAAAGCAAGTCCTTGGAGACCTACAAAGAGACTTAGACACCCACACAATAATAATGGGAGACTTTAACACCCCACTGTCAACATTAGACAGATCCACAAGGCAGAAAGTTAACAAGGATATCCAGGAATTGAACTCAGCTCTGCACAAAGCAGACCTAATAGACATCTACAGAACTCTTCACCCAAAATCAACAGAATATACATTCTTAGCACCACATCGCACTTATTCCAAAATTGACCACATAGTTGGAAGTAAAGCATTCCTCAGCAAATATAAAAGAAGAGAAATTATAACAAACTGTCTCTCAGACCACAGTGCAAACAAACTAGAACTCAGGATTAAGAAACTAATTCCAAACTGCTCAACTACATGGAAACTGAACAACCTGCTCCTGAATGACTAATGGGTATATAACGAAATGAAGGCAGAAATAAAGATGTTCTTTGAAACCAATGAGAACAAAGATACAACATACCAGAATCTCTGGGACACATTTAAAGCAGTGTGTAGAGGGAAATTTATAGCACTAAATGCCCACAAGAGAAAGCAGGAAAGATCGAAATTGACACCCTAACATCACAATTAAAGCCACTAGAGAAGCAAGAGCAAACACATTCAAACGCTGGCAGAAGAGAGAAAATAGAACTAAGATCAGAGCGGAACTAAAGGAGACAGAGACACAAAAAATCCTTCAAAAAATCAATGAATCCAGGAGCTGGTTTTTTGAAAAGATCAATAAAATTGATAGACCACTAGCAAGACTAATAAAGAATAAAAGAGATAAGAATCAAATAGATGCAATAAAAAATGATAAAGGGGATATAACCACTGATCCCACAGAGATACAAACTACCATCAGAGAATACTATAAACACTTCTGTGCAAATAAACAAGAAAATCTAGAAGAAATGGATAAATTCCTGGACACACACACCCTCCCAGGACTAAACCAGGAAGAAGTTGAATTCCTGAATAGACCAATAACAGGCTGTGAAATTGAGGCAATAATTAAGAGCCTACCAACCAAAAAAAGTCCAGGACCAGATGAATTCACAGCTGAATTCTACCAGAGGTACAAAGAGGAGCTGGTACCATTCTTTCTGAAACTATTACAATCAATAAAAAAAAAAAAGGGAATCCTCCCTAACTCATTTTATGGGGCCAGCATCATCCTGATACCAAAGCCTGGCAGAGACACAACAAAAAAAGAGAATTTAGGCTAATATTCCTGATGAACATCGATGCAAAAATCCTCAATAAAATACTGGCAAACCGAATCCTGCAGCACATCAAAAAGCTTATCCACCATGATCAAGTGGGCTTCATCCCTGGGATGCAAGGCTGGTTCAACATAGGCAAATCAATAAAACGTAATCCATCATATAAACAGAACCAAAAACAAAAACCATATGATTATCTCAATAGATGCATAAAAGGCCTCTGACAAAATTCAACAGCCCCGCATTCTAAAGACTCTCAATAAATTTGGTATTGATGGAACATATCTCAAAATAATAAGAGCTATTTATGACAAACCCACAGCCGATATCATACTGAATGGGCAAAAACTGGAAGTATTCCCTTTGAAAACTGGCACAAGACAGGGATGCCCTCTCTCATCACTCCTATTCAACATATTGTTGGAAGTTCTGGCCAGGGCAATCAGGCAAGAGAGAGAAATAAAGGGTATTCGATTAGAAAATGAGGAAGTCAAATTGTCCCTGTTTGCAGATGACATGATTGTATATTCAGGAAACCCCATCGTCTCAGCCCAAAATCTCAAGCTGATAAGCTACTTCAGCAAAGTCTCAGTATACAAAATCAATGTGCAAAAATCACAAGCATTCCTATACACCAATAACAGACAAACAGAGAGCCAAATCATGAGTCAACTCCCATTCTCAGTTGCTTCAAAGGAATAAAATACCTAGGAATCCAACTTACAAGGGGTGTGAAGGACCTCTTCAAGGAGAATTACAAACCACTGCTCAACAAATAAAAAAGGACACAAACAAATGGAAGAACATTCCATGCTTATGGATAGGAAGAATCAATATCGTTAAAATGGCCATACTGCCCAAGGAAATTTATAGATTCAATACGATCCCCATCAAGCTATCAATGACTTTCTTCACAGAATTGAAAAAAACTACTCTAAAGTTCATATGGAACCAAAATAGAGCCCACATTGCCAAGACAATTCTAAGCAAAAAGAACAAAGCTGGAGGCATCACACTACCTGACTTCAAACTTTACTACAATTCTACCATAACTAAAACAGCATGGTACCAGTATCAAAACAGATATATAGACCAATGGAACAGAACGGAGGCCTCAGAAATAACACCACACATCTACCACCATCTGATCTTTGACAAACTTGACACTCATAAGCAATGGGGAAAAGATTCCCTATTTAATAAACGGTGTTGAGAAAACTGGCTAGCCATATGCAGAAAACTACAACTGGACCCCTTCCTTACACCTTAGGACCATAAAAATCCCAGAAGAAAACCAGGGCAATACCATTCAAGACATAGGCATGGGCAAAGACTTCATGTTTAAACACCAAAAGCAATGGTAACAAAAGCTAAAATAGCTACATGGGATCTAATTAAATGAAAGAGCTTCTGTGCAGCAAATGAAACTATCATCAGAATGAGCAGGCAACCTACAGAATGGAAGAAAATTTTTGCAATCTATTCATCTGACAAAGGTCTAATATCCAGAATCTACAAGGAACTTAAACCAACTCACAAGAAAAACGAAATACATCAAAAAGTGGGCAAAGAAGGTGAACATACGCTTCTCAAAAGAAGACATTTACACGGCCCACAAACATATGAAAAAAAGCTCATCGATGCAAATCAAAACCACAGTGAGGTATCATCTCATGCCAGTTAGAATGCTGATCATTAAAAAGTCAGGAAGCAACAGATGCTGGAGAGGGTGTGGAAAAGTAGGAATGCTTTTACACTGTTGGTGGGAGTGTAAATTACTTCAACAATTGTGGAAGACAGTGTGGCGATTCCTCAAGGATCTAGAACCAGAAATACAATTTGATACAGCAATCCCATTACAGGGTATATACCCAAAGGATTATAAATCATTCTACTATAATGACACATGCACACGTATGTTTACTGCAGCAATATTTACAATAGCAAAGACTTGGAACCAACCCAAATGCCCATCAATTATAGACTTATAAAGAAAATGTGTCACATATACACCATGGAATACTATGCAGCCATAAAAAAGAATGAGTCCAGGCTGGGCATGGTGGCTCACGCCTGTAATCTCAGCACTTTGGGAGACCAAGGTGGGCGGATCACCTGAGGTCAGAAGTTCAAGACCAGCCTGGCCAACATGGTTAAACCCTGTCTCTACTAAAAATACAACAATTAGCCAAGTGTGGTGGCGGATGCTACTTGGGAGGCTGAGGCAGGAAAATCGCTTGAACCCAGGAGGCAGAGGTTGCAGTGAGCTGAGACTATGCCATTGCACTCCAGCCTGGGTAACAAGAGCAAATCTCTGTCTCAGGAAAGAAAGGAAAGAAAGGAAAGAAAGGAAAGAAAGGAAAGGAAGGAAGGAAGGAAGGAAGAAAGGAAGGAAGGAAGGAAAAAGAAGGAAAGAAAGAAGGAAAGGAAGGAAAGGAAGGAAGGAAGGAAGGAAGGAAGGAAAGAAAGAAAGAAAGAAAGAAAGAAAGAAAGAAAGAAAGAAAGAAAGAAAGAAAGAAAGAAAGAAAGAGAGAGAGAGAAAGAGAGAGAAAGAGAGAGAGAAAGGAAGGAAGGAAGGAAGAAAGAAAAAGAAAGAAAGAAAGAAAGAAAGAAAGAAAGAAAGAAAGAAAGAAAGAAAGAAAGAAAGAAAGAAAGAAAAGAATGAGTTCATGTCCTTTGCACATGGATGAAGCTAGAAACCATCATTCTCAGCAAACTAATACAGGAACAGAAAACCAAGCACCGGATGTTCTCATTCATAAGTGGGAGTTGAACAATGAGAACATATGTACACAGGGAGGGGAACACCATACACCAGGGCCTGTCAGGGGTCGGGGGCAAGGGGAGGGAGAGCATCAGGACAAATTCCTAATGCATCGGGCCTTAAAACCTAGATGACAGGTTGATGGGTACAGCAAACCACCATGGCACATGTGTATCTAACAAACCTGCATGTTCTGCACATGTATCCCAGAACTTAAAGTAAAATAAAATAATATTTTAAAAATGATTTAAAATTAAAAACTGCAAGTGAAAAGATGAGTAGACATGATTATATACATATTTTAAACCATTTCAAAACAAAATTTAGACTAAAAGAAAAGCAACAAAATGGAAACTATACTATGTGCAAATGAAAACTGCACAATGCACAAAGTTTAATATACAATACAATAAGATAGTACATCCCTTGAAGCCAGGAGTTCAAAAACAACCTAGGCAAAAAGGCAAGATCCCATTTCCACAAAAAAAATTGAAAAATTAACAGGCTGTGGCAGCACAACCTTGTAGTCTTAGCTACTTGTGAGGAAGAGGTGGGAGGATCGCATGAGCCTAGGAGGTTGAGGCTGCAGTGAGCCATGACTGCGTCACTGCACCCTAGACAGGGTGATAGCGTGAGACTCCTTCTCTATAAATAAGTAAACAAAAGATACTGCAAGAAAATGTATGAATAGTTTTCTGTGCTCAAAGTACAAAGGATATGAAGAAGAGATGCAAGGTGGTAGGCAATGCTTTAGAAATTGATAATGCAACTAGTATTTAGGAAATGCAAACGAAACAATTTTAAATTGTCATTTATGCCTATTAAATGACCCACACCATTAGGTTGTAGGCAAGGGTTTTTCATTTACTGATGGCACTGAAAATTGATTCATTGTTTTTAAAGAGCTGTCTGATATATTTTAAGCAATTTTCTGTTCTGAAAATGTATTTCAAATAATAGTAATAATTTCAAAAACGACATCTAAAATCATTCTTACCTTGCTTGAGAATTTTGGTGATCTATATTTAACAAGGCTGTGAAATCCTCTATGGCTGCAAACCAGTTTTCATTTTCATAATAAAACAGCCCACGTTTCAGTAATGCATCTGTTCTTTTGGGATCATAAAAAATACACTACAGGGACAGGGGGAGGTACATAAACATCACAAAATGAAAAAAAAAACGAAGTATATAATCACATAAGTGATCTAAAACTATGTTTTTAACTTCAGGTTAATAAAAGCAAACCATCTGAAGATGTCAGAATTTTCAGAGTGGTAGCTAAAGAACATACCTTTAGGAGATTTTTTCCATCATCGAATTCTAGAGAGGGAATATTTTTTAGGAGGAAAATAAACAGCATATACAGGAAGCCCAGGCTTCTGCTCACTGAAACTTTTGCTGATAAAAATTCATAAGTGAATTGTTCAACTAGAATGGAGTTCATTGGATCTATCTCAGCATTTTATCCTAATTAAAGACGTAACATATTAGACTACATCAAGGCTGATTCAATCACATAAAATATAGATTAATCTAGCCATTAAAATAGGGAAGAGAATTGAACTGGTACTGGCATGGCTCATTCATTTTACATTGACATACAAAGTAATAGAGGGATCAGACTAAATCATATATCAGTTATAAAGCTCTTCACCTATTGTTAGTAGAAAAGAATTGAAGCACAAAGGAGATGACCAAATATCTTTCAAATAAAAAAAAAATCCTAAAGATTTCAAAATTTGTTTGATCTCAGTGTGCTGCATTACTCTATTTCTGAACTATTGGTGCAGGATAGGGGAAACAAAGAGAATAGATAATCTAACAATTTCAGCATCTTCAAAAGAGCTTTTTGGTCATTTCTAGACCAGAAGTTAACAAAACATGTAATATTCTCCTCAAGCAGAAAAATGTCGAGTGGATGTCATGGATTCATAAATAGGGCAGTTGGGAACATGGAAAGTTAAATTATTTAAATAATTGCTTCTAAATTCTAAATTGCAGTAAGGAATAAGAATTTGGAGTTTAGAGTCAGGAGATCAGAGTTAGAACTGTACTGCAATAAGGGGAATATTTTGCCTTGACTACGATTCAGTTAAAAGTTCATTTCCTGGTCCAGCACCGTGGCTCATGCCTGTAATCCCACCACTTTGGTAGGCCAAGGCGGGCAGATCACAAGGTCAGGAGATCGAGACCATCCTGGCTAACACAGTGCCTGTAGTCCCAGCTGCTTGGGAGGCTAAGGCAGGAGAATGGCGTGAACCCGGGAGGCGGAACTTACAGTGAGCCAAGATCACGCCACTGCACTCCAGCCTGGGCGACAGAGTGAGACTCTGTCTCAAAAAAAAAAAAAAAAAAAAAGTTCATTTCCTCAATTCTCTGACATCTCCTAAACATAAGTTACTCTCCCACCATCCTTATTTCCTTCATAGTACTTACCACAATTTGTAACAATGCCTTAATATCATAATTTGTAATACTGCCTTAGTAAATAAATACTTGCAAGTGAACAAATGAATGAATGAATGTATGAACAAACCAGTAAGCACAGCTTCTTTGAGAGCAGATAGGTTCCCTGCAGAAAAGAATCAGTTATTCAAGAGTTAAAAAGTAGAAAATACTTTTCTTTAATGTTTAAAGGTAAGAAGCAATTTTCAAAGGCTTCTTTAACCACTGTAGCATGGCTCCAGAGGAGGCAGCTGGAAAAGCTGGGCCCCTCTACATGTTATCTCAAGGCCTCCACGTCCAATTCTGATGTAAATTCATTCATTCACAATTTAAAAAATAATAATTAACACAGTGTTAATATAAATTCCAGTAATGAAAACTCTAGCTCCTAACCTATAACAAATCAATTTTGATTATATAATATATATGAAAAGATCTTCAAAAATTTGCTGTACTATTTGCATGAGGATATCGCAATCTAAACTATATAAATGGTAGAATTATATGTGATAAGACTTACTTTAGAAAAGTCATCAATGGCCAGTACTTTGTTTGCTATTTCATACATCTCACCCCTCCTGAAATAGATGTCAGCATCTGTGGGCCTGCATTTAATTGCCTGGGTATAATTTAGAATTGCCATAGTTACGTCTTTTTTTCCCCTGTAAATTTCTGCCTTTGACAAATATGCCTCTAAAGAAAATTAAAAAGATAAAATTTGGAGTTATAATCCTTTCATTCACTATGAAAATTTTAAAAGATTAATCCCTCTCCCTCCAAAAAATGTAGTCAAAATAATTTTTCTCTATTACATTTTCTTAACTATTAGTTTATCTTATTTTATTCTATTTTATTTTTTTAGGCAGGCTCTCCTGTCACCAAGGCTGGAGTGCAGTGGCACAATCATGGCTCACTGCAGCCTCGACCTCCAGGGCTCAAGCAATCCTCCCACATCAGCCTAATAAATAGCTGGAACTACAGATGCATGCCACCACACCCAGCTAATTTTTGTATATTTTTTTATAGACACGGGGGCTCACCATGTTGTCCAGGCTGGTCTCAAACTGCTGGGCTCATGTCATCCGCCCACCTCAGCCTCCCAAAGTGCTGGGATTACAGGCGTGAGTCACTGTGCCTTGACCCATTTCATTTAATTTTTATTTTGACAATGCCAAATTTGTTCTCAAAGGCTGGATAAATGCTCATTTGTGGTTAAAAGTACTTTCAATTTGAAGTAACAAAAATTACTCTTTACCTTTCCATATGTCTAAAATGTTTTTTCATAATCCTTTAATCATCATAGTAAAAAGTTAGGCTGTGATAACACAAAACTTAATGGACTTTTAGCAGCGATCAACACGGGTCAAAAATCATTTATTAAGCTCATGTTTTATTTTATGGGTATGTTGTAGGTGCTGGGGATACAAAGGTGAATATCACATTTTCACATTCCTAGAAAGTTCCATGGGTGCTTCAAGTTGATTGGAGGATAGCACATAAGAGCAAAGGTACAAATTTCTTACAACCAAGTAAGCCTAAGCATACAATAACTAACTCAGAGAGATGTGATCAAATCACACAAATCAAAGAGAGATTTGTAAATTACTTCTATAACTAACTATTTTAAATTCATATTCTTTCGTTGTGAGATGAGCAGTAAGGAACCAATTTACTGCAATATATATCAAAGACAGTAAACTTTCAAACCATGATAAGTATTTTAAAAAGACTATAGGATTGTATGAGCCCTGGATTTACAATAACAAGAGTAAAAAAATTTAATTGAGGAAAGTCATTTTCAGGACATATATCTACTGATTTATGTATTCTTACAGTACCAATAAATGACAAAGTTGAGGTCAAAATGTAGGTAATATAACTGTCTCTACAGACAACCCACCTGTATTATTTTTATTATATTTATGTATATAATTCAAGTCATCCAAAGCTTCATTAATTTTGTCTTGGAAAAGATAAATTAAATGTCGTTGCCAATAGGCATTGAGAAACAATGGTTCCAAGAGCATTACCTAGAAAATATATGTAAAAATTCAGTTAAAGTTGATTTGTTAAAGGAGGATATCCTATCAAATAAATGTTTCAAACACGATTGATCCCAGTGGCTTTGTATGTATGTAATGTAAAATAAAACCTCCCAATCTGACAACTAAAAATCATGTTTTTAATATTATTTGAAAATGCAAATAATTATACTGTTATAATAATTCTACATGCTATACTATAAACATTCATTGTTCAAAATTTCAGCAAAAATTACTATACAATTAAAAGCAAGTGTAAATGGTGAATATTACTATTTTGGTTAAATAAAACTTACTCTCTGTAGATCATTCATGGCACTCTGCAACTTTCCCAGTTTTCTATAAATAGCTCCACGCCTACAATATGCAAATGCAGGATATTTTGTCTTATCGTTTATTTCTTCAGTCAAAATCTTCACTTCAGATTCATAATGTTTAATGACCTCTTGTGGAAGATCGGACTCCACATCATCACTTAATTTTAGTTTTGGTGGTTCTTTCACTCTTTCAGGTGGGTCTTTAGGAACTGATATTTTATCATCTTTCTCTTTTACAGGCGTGCTCGCATCTTTGTCCGCAATGAGGCTATCAAAAGCCCATGTCCGAGGATCAATATTTTCTGGAATTCCTCCCTTAGTTTGGAAGAATTTTTCAAAATTTAAATACAAAGGTAAACTGGGACACCGTATTTGACGTTCATATAATGGAACTTTGAACAAATATTTCTTCTGTTCTGGAAGTATTCCATGAGATGTTGATCTAGTTTTTAAAAGAGTGATTTTTTTAATTACAGAAATACAATCATCTTTCTAATCAGTAAATCAACTCAGTCACACATAAAACTACTATTTCTGTTATCAAAACAAAATTACATGCTAATTTTATGCGCAAGTTCTCCTTTTCATTTAATAAAACGGTAACACTGTATGAAGAATCTCAAGTTTATGAAAGCAAAAGACTGTTTTTAAAGATGTAGCCTCCTTAGAGTACTAAAAAAATGAGGTCAACGCGCCTTTCAAGTTTAATTTACACCCTCTACCATACCTAACCCACCAGAGGAATTACAATTGAGAATTAAGGAAGTAAACATAATGTGAGAAAAAAAAAATGCCATGCAAGAGGTTAAAGAGGACATGAACTTGAGGTAGCGGGAAGAAGGCAGGAGTTGACTACACCTCAGACTATCAACTGAATATCCCAGTTTTACCCTTCTCTAGTAGGCTATCAAATTAAATAATACCTAATATGCTTTCAAATGCTACAAGTCTAGGATTAGCCTTCTCAAATTCTCCCTTTGCAATATAGTCTTCATTGAGTAACATGTGCCATAGGGCTGGTACTGTACTAGCCATAGGAAATAAGAATAAACTCAGTATATTGAAATAAAATAATTTACCCTATCACTTCATATTTACTGAGTATGTACTATGAGAAATACCTAGTGCTGAACACTAGGAGAACAAAAGTAAGAAAAGTCAGTTTCCTTCCCTTTCCTTACTTTCATAAATTCTCTATTCCTTTCCACATTCTAGTGCAAGCCACCATCATCTATTCTTCTTAGAGTAGAATAATTTATTAACTCCCTGCTTCTACTTTTGCCCTTTGTCTAATTCATTCTCTGCATGGCAGCCAGGCATAGTTTTTGTTTTTTGTTTTACAAATGTACATAAGATCATATCACTCCTCCAAGAGCTTCCCCAGTATGCAAATCAAGCTCTTCACCATGGTCCATAAGACCCCACGTGATCAGGTACCAGCATAAATATTCGACACCACTACTCTCCCCCTCATTCCCTAACTTCCAGCCTTGAGCAAGCCTCAAGGCCATTGCCCTTGTCAGCCCTTCTGACTGGTTGGCTCCTTCTCAATTCATATTTCTGACCAAATGTCACTTTAGAAAGGTCTTCTGTGCCAGATAAGTTTTGTTTGCACCTCCATATTCATCTCTACCTTTCTCCATCTTGCTCCCTGTCCCAGGAAACTGATCTGCACAGACTATAGCCTTAGGATCCCTTGGTCTCTGTCTTCTCATAAAGTTTATCCAATTAGGAACCCCAACAGAGGGAAGGAGGAGAGTGAAGTCAAGGTGTTTATTCCTCTGGCTTCCTGATGAAGGGTCTCCTCAAACTCCCCAGGATTCTTGAACAAAGATCACTACTGCTTTCGAGAAAACCATTTCTATACAACTCTTTTCTTTCAGCTTCTAGTCATCACTCCCTCTTTTTGTCCTCTCAAATTTCGGAGTAGAAAATGGCTTTACATTTTTAATCCCAGGATACTGCATTATTATTTTTGGTTTCCTTGTACTTTGATATTTTTGTAAATTTCTCCCAATATTATCCTAAGCTGAGTGGTGTTTATGATTGGGATCTTCACTGACAAAGTAATTAGTACCAGAGATGGACTCAGGAAACACACACACACATAAAGCATTCTAGGATAACCTCCTTGCCAGGCTGAAATAGGACATAGGTAATCCATGGCATGTGGTGGTATAAAAATTTGTCAAATATCACCAATGTTAGCAGGGACTGATGTTCAGGTGGAAGACAAGGCATTGGGAGATCAAGGAGCTTTAAGTCATTAAGACAACAATAATTATTATAAAAATTGTGTGTTCAATAGCAAAGACTTGGAATCAACCCAAATGTCCATCAGTGACAGACTGGATTAAGAAAATGTGGCACGTATACACCATGGAATACTATGCAGCCATAAAAAAGGATGAGTTCGTGTCCTTTGTAGGGACATGGATGCAACTGGAAACCATCATTCTCAGCAAACTATCGCAAGAACAGAAAACCAAACACCACTCATAGGTGGGAATTGAACAATGAGATCACTTGGACACGGGAAGGGGAACATCACACACCAGGGCCTATTGTGGGGAGGGGGGAGGGATGGCATTGGGAGTTATACCTGATGTAAATGACAAGTTGATGGGTGCTGACGAGTTGATGGGCACAGCACACCAACATGGCACATGTATACATATGTAACAAACCTGCACGTTGTGCACATGTACCCTAGAACTTAAAGTATAAAAAAATAAATAAATAAAAAATAAAATAAAATAAAAAATTGTGTGTTCAGTTGACTACTTCTTTCAGACCAAAGAGTAGTTGCAGTACCTATTAAGTAGCCTCTAAACTTTGTGAACCAAGTTAATGAAGCTAGTAGGCAAGAAGCAGAAAACTGAAATATGGGATGTTAACATGCAAGGAGCTATGAATGAGAGTGAGAATTTTAAATCTCCAGTTCCCACTTATCTTCCCTTTACTGAGGAAACTGGCTGAGGAATTGTCAGATCCCCTATCTCAGACTCTCAGTCCTCTCCTGCATAAGTTTCTTTCAATGATTACACTGTGACATTGCCTCATATGCTGTAAGGCACCTACCTCAAGCATGTCCTGAAATCACTCAGCTGTGACTCTCAAACCCTCTCATAGAGCCTCAGCCATTACAGTCCCTCAGTCTCCCACATTCCTCCTCCATGGAGGTGACCTTGGGTTGGTGGCTGCTGGCCTCACCACACACAGCCTTAGCTAGAACACCTGGGAATACTCTAAGTGAAGGGTTCTCAAACTTCAGCATGCATCAGAATTACCCAAAGACTTGTTAAAAATACAGATTTTGAGGCTCCACCCTCAGGGTCTCTTATTCGGTAGACCTAGGGTGGACTTCTAGAACTTGCACCTCTAACAGGTTCCCAGGTAACAATCATGCATGGATTACACTATAAGAGCCATTGCTATAGAGGAATGAGTTCTAAGGTTCAAGAAACAGGAATTTGACTGCAATATGGAATGTGCTTAGTCAAGTCCTAACCCTTGGAAAGACCAGAGAACGCATAAGTGAGGGGGCAATACCCTTGAAAAGCCTTGTGGATGCTGACCTCAGAGCTGGAAAAGAATGACAGTGGGAGAACGGGAGCAAAGAAATTTGTTTCACTGACTCCAGTGGGAATAATAGAACCCTGGAGTGGTAAAATCCCATTTACCACTACAGATATGGTAGATACAATGACCACAATAAGCAACAGAGTCAGAATAGTAATAACAGGATTTTAACTCTCAAGGACCTGTGGCAATAACTAAATGTCTAAATGTCCTTAGAGATGAGATAAATGGGCAGCTTGCTTGGGTGTTCTTTGCTTACATAGGGGAAAAATTTATAGGTCTTCCAGTACAAATCTAACCAGCTATAGTGGGGGTTCACAATCTTTTACCCAGCTTTCACACCCCAGGCAGTTCATAGTCCAAAACCTCTCTTAACAGGAAGGTCGGGAAAAGTATCACTGAGGAAGAATCCTTCAATGTGGCTTCGGTATACACAGTGAATTTTCCCTGAAATCTTCTAAAGGTATAAGAAAGGGGAACCTCAAACCTTTTAGGGGTAATTAGATACTGGCTCTGACCTTATGCTAATCCACAGATACCCACTACAAATCCCACTGATGTTTATCAATCAAATTAAAGAATTACGAAAGTCAAGTGATAGAATCTTGGTCTGAGACCATTTAACAGTGGATCTAGTGAGACATGGACCCATTTTTTGATAATTTCCCTAGTCCCAGAATGTATAGTGGGAGTAAATACATGTAACAACTGAATAAACGGTAGACTGAGGAAGATAATGGTAGTAAGGGCCAAGTGGAAATCGCCCTCATCCCATCTCACACCACTATCCACCAAGATAGCAAACAAAAAGCAATACCAGATTCTGGGGAAATTACACATTAGTGTCACCATCAGACTTGAAGGATATAGGTGGCAATTCCCACCACATCTCCAGTTTACTTTCCTGTTCTACCAGTGCAAAACCAACATCGCTTGTAGGAAGTGACTATAAATTATCACAAATTTAATCAGGTGGTGATAACAATTACAGGTTTAGTTCCAGATGTGGTATATTTACTGAAGCAATGAACACACCTTCTGGCACCTGGTTTGCAGCTGTTGACCTGACATGCTTTCTTTTCCACTCCCCTAGTTTAGGAGAATCTGATGAAGTTACATTTAGATGTCAGGGACAACTCTCTCCATATATATACACACACATACATATATGTGTGTACATACCTATATATATGTGTATGTGTACGTACATATATATGTGTATGTGTGTATATATGTGTGTGTGTGTATGTGTGTGTGTGTGTATATATATCCCATATCCAACCCACAAGCAAGTCCTGTTGTCCCTATTTCTAAAATCTATCTAAAATCTAACCACTTTCCACTACTTTGGTTGCTATCATCCCAAACCAAGAAACTATTTCTCACCTCAATTATTTCAATAGCTTTCTAACTGGTCTCCCTGTTTCACTACAATCTATTTTTCACAAGTAACCAGAGTGAACCTTCTGGAACATAAACTAGATCCTATCAACTCACTGCTCCCAAATCCCAATGTTTCCTTTTCTATTAAGAATCCAAAGTCTTTGCCATAACCTATAAACATCACTACCCCATTCTCAAGTCCAATGATTTCTTGGCACTCTTAAGAATAATTTCAAATTTACTCTGGCCTATACCACTTGGTATTATCTCTGACCACTTCCTCAACCTCGCTTCTTTCCACCCTGCACTCACTCTGTTCTAGCCACACTGATTTCTATGTTGTCCCTCAAAAGCAACAAGCATGTCTCCAACTCAAGGCCTTTGCACTCACTATGACCACTTCAGATATTCAAATACCTCATTCCCTCATTCCATTCAGTTCTACGCTCAAATATCACTACCTTATAGAGGCTTCTG